CGTTTCTTATGATAGTGATTTTAATCACTGTCAGATATCATCTGTACTTGCTTCAACTATCCTACGTCTAGAGTGTGCTGTGACCCCGCTGTTTTTCCGCATATTTTTTATTTCAAGATAAAAAAGAAGCATAACCAAAATTAAGTTTGAATTATTGTTGATAAGATTATTGTTTTAAAATTTAAAAAAAAATGTCAATTTGTCTGTTACATTATGGGCAAACAAAAAAATCATCAAAATATTATAGAAAATTTCAATAAAACGTATGAAAATAATATTCTTAATTGTTCTGCCCTCTCAGTAATTGAAAACTGATAATTTAAAATATCTGACGACTTGATGTTAATACCCCAGTAAAGTACTTTGAAAATCTCACGATAATTGATGAAAAACATTGTGTTTTGTTAAATTCGATAATTAAAATAAAATTTAAGAGAATGACCCGCCAAGTATAATATTCAAAATCCAGTCTACAAACTTGGGGCATTTTTTTTTTAAATATCAAATTCAAAAAAGGACAATGTTATTTAAATAAATAATTAAACCATTACCAAATAGAAGTTAAAGACTTTATTTTGATTAAATTATTATGCAGCCAGTTTTACTGAAATATTTTCTTTGGTTCCAAACTCAATTTAGTAGAAAAAAAATGAATTATTTAAAAAAAATTAATGCTATTTACATATATTGCAATTGAATAGGTGAAAGAACATTGGCCATAAACATCCACTTTTCGGAATGGCAAAATAATCATTTTTTTGTTATATATTTTACTTTTTTAATGTGTAATTTAAAATATCAAATTTTATAATAAAAAGTATTCTTTTGTTTTTTGATATGTAAAATATAGTATAAGAATTTGCAAACGAAAAATTAACAAAGTGGACTTAGGTTATTTAACACTGACACTGCTAAATTAAAAATAAAGTATATTTTGTTTGATTTAAATATATTTTATTAAAATATTTATTCATAGACAAAATAATAGTCAGTGAACTAAAATATTGCAAATTCATTTATTTAAAATTGAATGAATTTGTGAGTAAATTCAATTTTTACAGTATTAATTATGAATGCGAATTAATTAATTTTATAAAAGAATGTCAATTTAAATTGAATGCATAAACGCATTTGCCAAATAGTTATAAAAATAGATTGCTTTAAATTTTAAATAAAAATTAAAAAATACCGTCTATATTTTATATTATGCTTGCTATATATTTAATCTTTATCAAAATTTAAACTATCTATTTTTATAATTATTCGACGAATTCGTTTTTGGATTCAATTAAAATTGACAGTCTTAAATAAAATAAATTAATTCATATTCATAATTCTTACTGTAAAAATGATTATATTCATGAATTCATTAACTTTTAAGTTAATGATTTTGTACAAATGCATTCATTCCTAAATCTGTTTTGTGACTATGATACTAACCGCAATGTTATTAAGATTTTACTATGTTTGAAAATTATCGTTAAAAAATATTATATAAATAATTATAAAAATAAAAAATATTAATATTTGATTTAAAATTTTATAAATATTTATTTTTAGATATATAAACTCAAATGATTGATGCCAAAATTTAAAGATCATTTAATGATCTTTAATTAATTAATTAAAATAACAAATATCAAGTTTGTTGTAAGAAAAAACTATTTCTAAAAGTATATTTTAATGGTAAAATTCGAAAGTTTTTATAGAATTAAATGGAAAATAGAATAAATAACATTTTGACTTCGATGACCATTATTCTTATTGGTGTAAATTAAATTTTTAGTTATAAGCGATTTACCAGAGTGTTATGGTAAAAATAAAATGTTGCTAAACACTAACAATGTAGTGAATTATTTTTCAATAAATATTATTTTGATTAAACTTATTCCAATCTACAAGACGTTGTATTCTATTTTTATCATACAAAATACGGTTACAGTACATTACTATTAATAATAAGAGTATTATGATTCCATGATGCATAAAGAATTATTATTTACAAAATTCAATTTCCAAAATGTATATAATTTAATTTTCAAAATATAATCCAATAAACTGTAATATTTAGAATATTTTTTATGAAAAAAGAAAAATATTTTTCTTTATAATACTAAATATGAATAAATTAAAGGCAATAACAATTCAAACATAAATTTTATTTATACAAATCTAATTTTTCTGATTCATTGTATTTATAAATAAAATATTGAAATATAATTTTCAGTGAAAATATTTCTAATAATATTCAATTATTAAATCAGGTAGCTCACAGAAATATGATACATGATTAAAATAATAACAATTCAACATAACATAATAGAAAAAATGACACATGGCCATACCAAGAAGAGGGCAAGTGCCCTAGAGCGTCAAACATAAATAATATAAATACATTTTTTTTGAATAAGATATATTTTGTCTAAAAATATATAAAATAAATATGTCAAATATATGATTGCCTAAAGCGCCTTGCACAGTTAGTATAGCACTACCTTAAATATTTTAATATGAACGAATTTAATTTGTCTAACATTGATAAAACTATAATATAAGAAATCCAAATACATAAGCTTATAAATTCGTAGGTTGCCTATTAATATTACATTAAAACACACTCATAAAAAAAATTCTCCCCATTTATATTCTTGTACTTATTTTTAACTTAATTTCGCTAAAAATGTGTATAGTATCTTATGCTAATGTGATGTTAATAAATCTTAAAGAAAATACAGTAAAATTGTGTAGTAATAATATGACTACTACTATTATAGTAAAACCTGAAAATTCGAATAGTATACATATAAATCTACTCGGTCAGAGCTTAAAATTATTAATAAAAATATATTAGTACTGATATTATTACAAAATATACATTTTAATAATATTAATAATCGAAATTATAATATATTACATAATATTTTGAGCTCAATTTTAGTGTTTACCTGAATTAATACCAATGCACACCCTTAATTTTAAATTTTTAATAAAATTTTCAAACTCACTATGTCATTTTATCTATAAAAAAATGTATTAAATAAAAAAAAAATTATGTTAAAATATTCAATGATTCATGTAATTTTTTATATATCACAGAATCAAAATTAAAATTTTATATTAGCATTTTATGGTTTAAAAAATTTTAAGGTTTATACGCTCATATTTTTTTATCTGTGTGTGCTATAATTTAAATTTTTTTAATGAAAAATTAAAAAAAATGTTTATGCATATAAATATAAATATTAAAGTGATCATGACAAATACAAATCTATGAAAAAAAAAAATAGTTCAGAATTTAATTTATAGAGCAATTAAAGTTTTATAGATATAACTTTTTAAATCTAAATAAATATAGTACATATTACCAACTTTGAAAATAAATATATAAAAATCTACAATTAAATACTCAATTGAAATAATATTCATTAGTATATTTAGGACGGAAGAAGAAAAATGTGGTGTTTTCTACTGCACCATATTTTTACAACATTCTGTATTAAAAAATAAAATGAGCCGTGGATAGAATTATTTTTGTTTTTAATTTTTTAAACTAGTATTTTAAAAGATATTAGCATTTTTACAACTAGATCGGAGGAGTTATGTGATTAATTTTTATGACGTGACAGTATACAAAATTAATAATAATATTAATTTTTAAGTAATTTTTAAATTGAAATGTCATTTTAATTCGATAGTGAAACATAATAAAATTCATGACAAATTGTTTATGGATTACATTAAATATGAAAGTAATCAACTTAAAAATAGATTAGAAAAATCTGATTTATAATCAGATTTTACTTTAAATAAATTATTTAAAATTAATACTTTTCCTTTAAAAGAAAAGTAAAATTGAAGCTTATTCAAATAATATCGAATGAAATATTTTCAAATTGATTGTATTTCAATTTTCAAAAACGAAACACAACATAAAAAATACTAATTTTTTTCTAACCAAGCCTGAACCCAAATACCTTTTTAAAAAAAGTAATACTTATGTAATATTTACTCAACGTTATTTTCTCAAAATTATATCTGAAGAAATGTATGCTTTTTTACTATCATCTTTGTAAATTAGAGTAGAATGAATATTTTATTTTTTTTAAATGTACATTCATAAATAATAAAGTCCTAATTTTCACAAACAAGTCTTTAATACATACGTGCAAGGGAAATTTTGATAATAATTTTATATTTGTATACTAATGTTCGATACTTATATCAAAATTACACTACTTGTTTGTTAAGTTAATGTATTTATTAAAAATATCATACTGATGGGAATTTTTGTTTCATTTCTTACATTGAATATCTTCAGGTTGAGTTGGGTTATAGCTTTTAGAAAACTATATCTAAGTGAAATTCTGGTGCATTTACAAAATATTTGACCGATAACTTAATTAGATGTTATAATCTTTATGTTTTAAGCTTTAATACCATTAATTTATTTTAAATAAAATAGTGATACACTTGTGTATTCCAGATAAAATACAGAAATTTATTTTTTATACATATATTTATATATTTTCAGAATAAAAATAATAATTAGAATGAACATAATTGTAAATTCAAAAAGAAAAAAGAAATATGTTTTTTTTTTTAATTATTTTCAAAATAAATTTTTTGTTATCAAAATTAAATCAATATAGCTGAGATATTAATTATGCTATACCAAAAAGATAAAAAAATTAGTAGTACTAATATATTCCCAATTTTTATGCTAAATCTGAAATAAATAATTTAAGAAAAAAAATTTGTAAAAGTACTCGAACATTTNTAAATCTGAAATAAATAATTTAAGAAAAAAAATTTGTAAAAGTACTCGAACATTTTGAAGTTACAACATTAATAAATTAATTTTACTTTGTGCATTTACAATTAAAACATACATTTTAGAAAAGAATTAATTTAACAAAATTTCTTTAGCTTAATATTATAAATTTGAACTTGTAATCTTTGATTTAAATGAAAATATACTGTTATTTAACAATTAATTTCAGGTCCATAATTTCAACAACATGGACGTGGACTACTCATCTTGTGAAATATTACCAGAGCAAGTCGCTGGTATAAATGATAGCAACACTTTTAATATAACAAACTATTGTAGTACAAATAGTACTGATTTATCAACTGAAGGTGAGCTACAAATATGTAAAAATAGCGCCTGGAAAAATGTTTATAAAATAAAAACATCAACATTATTGTTAATGCACTTGATTTATAGCTTATTTTAACTATTTATACATCTAAATTTATTCATTTTATTAATATAACTCTTAATCATATGACTAAAATAATGTATTACGTAAAAACCAATTGATCACTAATAGAGTTGTATATACATATTAGTTGTAATTATATATTTATCTGTTTATTATTTTGAAAAAATTTTTTTTGTTACAATCATAATTAGAATTATTTTCGTAGAATTGGTTGAATAAAACTCAATTGAGTAAAATAAGATTCAATATGTTTCTATTAAAAATAATTTTTTTTTTTGAAAATTTAAAAAAATATTATAACCCAATAAAAAAAATTATATTTAATAAAATCATTATACATGATTATTGAAACAATAACAGTACAATTCTGTGATAAAATCCAAAATCCTATATTTGTGACTTATTTTATCTTAATATATAATAATATTCATAGAACATTTTCTTATAACAATGAGAGTAGTAAAGTTTAATGTAAACACCATATATATATTTTTTTGTCATAAGAAGTTGAACTTTAACGATTTCTTTGAGAACGTGATCATGCTACTTTTAAACTGGATTTAAAGAGAATAGCCCATAAAATTATGAATTTATCCATTTTAAAATTAGCCAATCTAAATTTATGTCTCTGTTTTAGTTAATGAAACGATTAATAATGATAAAAAATAAATAATACTTTATATTATTTAGATAATGTGGTTACTCGATTTAAGATTTATTTTTCGTATTTTGTTAATGTATTTCAGTGACAGTATTGTATGATGTGCCAGTCAGTATTATTGTCCTCCTTTCAATATTTTATGGAACAATATCCGTCATGGCCGTTGTTGGCAACACACTCGTTATTTGGATAGTAACATCAAGTCGTCGGATGCACAATGTGACGAATTGTTACATAGCAAATTTAGCATTAGCAGATATTGTCATTGGTTTATTTTCTATACCTTTTCAGGTAAATAAGTAATTACGACTGCTATATAATTAAATTAATATATATTGAAATACATTGAGAAAACTCATGTCGAAAAGGTACACTTTTCCGGAAAAATGTTTACATTTATAATCTATAATTTAAAAAAGACATTATTATGAATAATTTAAATATCATTTAAACCAATCAAAATTTAGTTTTAAATAAGGTTATCAATTTACTGAAATATTATTTCGTACAGTTTCAAGCAGCTCTATTACAGCGATGGAACTTACCAGCAGTAATGTGTCCATTTTGTCCATTTGTCCAAGTACTTTCAGTCAACGTGAGTATTTTTACTCTCACAGCGATAGCAATTGATCGCCATCGAGCTATACTCAGTCCTCTCAGGTTAATAATCACAATTACGAATAATATAAAACTAGATTAAAAACTATAATGTTTGTATTCATTAATTAAAATTTTTTCTAACAGAGCTACTCCAACAAAATTCCGAGCAAAATTATTAATAGCCACCATATGGATAGCAGCTTTCACGTTGGCAACGCCAATGGCCATCGCACTTAGAGTTCAAGTTATTGAATACACAGATGGCGGTTAGTGCGAATTTTACTTTTTTTTTACTATGAAATATTAAAATTTGTTCAACAAACTAAGTTATTTACTAATACTAACAATATACTAAAAGTATAACCAAAGGTTTTTAACAATTTTGATTAATTTTTATGTATTAACCTTGCATACTTAAAAAGCTATAGAGTTTGCTGTCGTTATCATTTCAATACTAAAAAAAAATCGTTCATAAATTATTCACAAACAATAAAAATGTGCAATGCTAAAAATGAGCGAAAAGTTTAATTGCTACAGATTAAAATGTTTGCAGAATTATAAGTAAGCAGAGGATTAAAGAACCTATTAAGAATAAAATGAAGCATTTCTACAAGACAACCCATCTGTACTACATCTTACCAATTTTTTATAGTTAAATGAAATAATTAATGATAATATTTTTGTGGGTATACTTTTTAAATTAATTTTTTTTTCAACAAAGTACCAAATATTATAACATTTTTAACGACAGCTAATTTTTTAAGATTGGACTGGTGTGTCCTGGGGAAATATTAAGTACAATGATTCTTTGTTTGCCTAGTGTACTAGGAGACTAGTGTTTGCCGCCTTTGAAATGAACGCGTGAGGTAACCTACCCGGCTACTAACATCAGCAGACGAAATTTAACTTCAGAACTTAACAGTATCTAAAGCGTCCACTGCGCCATAATATTTACCATCCAAAATTTTTATACATTAACAATATTTTTATACGAAATATATTTTTATTTTATTTTAAATTTGTTTGAGTACACAAAAATATATTTTTTTATAATCATACTTTAATTAGAAGCGTTCAATGTTGATTACAGCCGAAAAAAAATATTTAAGGACTATAGTCCATAAAACACAAGTGGTGTTTGGTAGAAAACGCCTTTGACAAAGACCTAGTAGATTAGTTGTCACTAATACCGTTGAGTACATCGAATCGCGTGACAACTGATCTCTAGCGTCTTTGCTTACCTACCCCCTTGACCCTCCCAAATCGACGGCCTACGCGTCAATTGCCAGCCGTGTACAGTCCACCGTCGTCCCTCGTCGTGCGTTTTTCTTATACGCAACAAGCACCTCCGCTTGTGTGTGCCATTGTTCGGCCATAGTGGGCCATATATTTTATTGTTTCTTGCACATTCTGTCGAGCTCTGGCTCCCTCGAGCTTTCTTGTCTATGCGTTTCTTAAGTGATCGGCCCTGTCTGTCGCTGATCTATAGAGAAATACTCTCAAGCGACTATGCTTGTAGTTGACAATCCGTTCACGTCTTCAGCATTTCAACGGGAAGCATACATACAGTCCAGTTCTTACGGCCATTATTCATCTATACTACGTTGTACATCTAAGTCTTTAATTGTTTTTTTTATTTTATATCTTTTTAATTTTGTTAAAAGCCGCTTTTTCGATCATTTTAGTAATAAGGGCGTGCGCTCTTTAGTTTTAATTCGCTCATTGCAGAACTTTTAATATATTTGTTTTATTATTGTTATATAACTATTGTAAACGCGTTATTTATTAGATGTACGACGGCTAGCCGGCATCTTCCCAGGTGACCCCTCTCACCCGCCGCTCCTACAGCAGTCGTAAACAGGCCTAAGGCAAGACGGCTAGTTAGTGCGGTGCACAACTAGCCGTCCTGCGGTCTAGCTGATTTGTACGAAACAAGCAGTTTATTCGATGCAAATATAAATTTATAAATAGGTATAATAGTTTTTCATAACTATTTAAGCGTAAACCCAACTCGAATATGACAAAATAAATCACTTTTCATCGATATTTAGAATTTTTCCATCCAAATCGTATATTTTTAGAATATTATACCGGTGTGCAAAAACCAGTCTAGGAACGTAGCAGTCTTACCGCGACTTTGAAATAAGCGCCTATTGAGTTTGCGGAGAAGTCGTCAACACCCCAAACGGTCGAGTGATGTTACAAATTAATATCACAACTCAACTACTATACAACCACCAGAAATAAATCGATTAAAAACTATTGCACCACAGATGCTACATTATAATTGAATAATGCCGTCATAATTGACCACTTACGATTATAACTTTTTCTTTTTTTAAATTAAAACAGTATTATTTTTTAAATATAAATATCAGGCAAAGGGCAATAAAATCATACTTTCAAATTTATTAATAAGAACTCAATTAAATAATTCAGCATCAATGGTACAATTACAAATACATAAATACAAAATAAAATGTGCGTACAAAACAAAAAAAAGACTACTTTAAGTCGAAAAATATAATAACCAAATCAATAAACCGTATTATTAAAAAACACAAATGATTAATTATTAATGTATTTAAAGGAATTTCATGATAAAACGCTAATTACAAAATCGCACGAAATGAAACAATTACACGTTATTTTAACAATAGGGCTCTATAAATGAATTAATGTTTACTACTAAAAAACAAATGATATTACTATAACGGTTACGTAGTATTGGGGCAATTATAAAATACAATTATTAATCGTTCTTACAAAACGTTTTGTTGCCATGAAAAAAACTAAAACTCTGCTAATATTTTCCTTTATGATAACAATTATAACACATATGACAAAAATAATTTGTTATGTACATATTTATTCAAGTCATGCACACATTTTTTGTTTCATACATTGCAGCCCAGTTTGTGCAAATTCTTCCAAATAATACATTAAGTGCAATGATTTTTAAATAAATATGTACTTTGTTAAACTAACCGATATGAAAATATAACAAATGTTTTCATGTTTTTAAAGTTAAGAAAAATGTATATGTATAGTTTTAGAAGAGAAATGATGAGATTATTATATTGTACTTTGTATAATATAATCTCTTAAAACTAAATTCAACCACATAATCTAAAACAGATGATTATCATTTGCTAAATTTTTAAATTAATCTACTATGTATTACTTCTTGTGTGTTAATTACTAACTTGTATTTTTATTAAACCTTTAATAACTTATAACCCAGAGATCTTGAAGTAAATAATTAATGCAAATTTGTGATAAACTACTACTCCGAAAAATCGTACTTATGTTTCAGACATTATTTATATACAATATTTATCAATTTATATAAATTTTGACTGAATAACTTTTTGTGTTTATAACAAACACACTTATAAGAACTTATAAGTGTGATAACTTTATAAGAAAACCCACCAATAATGTACTTGATATAACAACAATTTGTGTAAATTTAGAAGGATACTTAGAACGCGAATTAAGTATATTGTAGCACAAATAACGTTTTAATGTTATTACCATATTTTGTTGGTACAATATAAAATTATACATACCTATCATAGGTACAATTTGAACAAAATTGCAGGAAAAGGTTAGTTATATGTTATTTCTCCCTCCTTAATTCATTTCTTATACAATCGTATTTGTAATTTTTCGGATATTTTGCGTGGGCTAATTTTATGTTGGAGGTACTAAGACCCCCCTTATTTTGCACCTATGACACCCAGGATATCACAAAATTTTTTCTAGAAGTTTTCTGAAATGTTATGGGCGTTTCTACATTACTATTAACCAGTATAGAGTTTCTATATTTATAAAAATAAGATAAAAAAAAATTCGAACCAAACTGTTTTTTCTATTTCAGCGCAGGCAGATTGCTTGTACACCATAAGAGCTCTACCCACTCGCGCTACACATCCACTCAGTGTATTAAAATGCTTGTTTCATAACACTAATTACATTGAAAAATATATAACTGCTCTTTCATAATATCAAATCTTTATGAAATACAATATTTAATAAAAATAAATAATAATTATAAAAAAAATAATTACTATAAGTATTTAAAATTAATAATTGAAGCATTGAAATAAAATCATTAAATTTAAAGTATCTATTTACCTCGGTATTAGAAACTTTTATTAAAAACTTATCGATGATGAATAATACAAATCATAAAATAAAATTATTATTGAAGTTATTAATATTTATTGTAATAAAAACACACGAGAAAAATAAATATAAGGCAGCTATTGACAACACAAGGCGGATATACATCGGTCCTAGATAACAAAAGTACTTCTTAATAGTGTTGAGCTGAATCAATCAATTTGTAATAACCAAATAACCGAATACATATATATATATTTTCGATACAGAAAAACCGAATATTTTTTAAATTGAAATTATTTGGTAATTATTACTTAATAATTACTATTAAAATTATATATATATATATATATATATATATATATATAAATTCCAATATGAAAAAGAAGAATATATATACATTATCTATTTATCATAAGCCACTCAATTACTCGCAAAATAAATACAATGTTACAAATATTTGTTTAGTTTTTTTAGTTACATGATTTATGAGATACTATTACTTTTTAGCATAATTTATAACTTATAGGGGTGTCAACAATTTTTAAGTTTAAATTTTTTAAATGGCAACATACACATATCTATGTTAATTAGTTAAATATATTTAACTATTTTATAAATTAGAAAATTATCTAATTCAGAAAATGACATAACGTTTGGACTAATACTTCGACAGTTATTAACTTGAGTAATAGGAGTAATGCGACGGAAAAATATCTTATGTTTATAATTTAAAGTCAATAGTTTAAAATCGTCATAACTTCTGAAGTACCAGTTCAAAAATTGTTGTCGACACGTTATTTTTTCAATAAGATAATTTCCTATTTAATAAGTTAAATATGGATGTTGCTATTTAAAATTTAATTTACATCCTTATAAATTATAAAGTATGGTGTTAAAAAGTAATAAGTAGCTAGCAAAAGTCAAAAAGTGTTGTAACTAAACAAAGTAAAAAAAATATTATCAATATTATAATTAATTTCTCAATTAAAGGAATTACTCTGTACAAAAGCTTTCAGATTTCCAAAAAAAAATTATTGTTAATTTAATTGGAATTTCATTAATTTTTTGAACTATTCGGTCAAATTTTGTTTAGACCGAGTAGCTTGTAAACGAAAATTTAGGAGATAATGTACTTATCTTCATTGGATGGTTTCCAATCAAAAACAACTGTTTTTTTAATTGACCGAACATCAATGAATTATTAAATATTTAAACAATATTTCCATTACATAATTGAGCAATAATTAATCATTAAACATCGTGCAATTTGAAAGATAGTAAAAAAATTTAGGGATTGCAAAAGTATATCTTGTGACCTCGCAATTTTAAGCAAGTTCACGCTTGCGACCATGCAATTATATCCCTGTTGATGATACCCATGTTAACAAAATAATTTTTTTTTTTAATTGGAAAAGTAGAATATAAATATAAAGCAAATAGAAACAATATAAAATTATAATTAATATTTGATAACTTTATAGCTGGCTACAAACTTGAAAAACCGTTCTGTCATAACTTACGTTTACCAGAACAGACTATGTTCCTTTACAGAGTAACGTTGTTGTTTGTGCAGTACGTGGTACCAGTCATCATAATAACAGTTGTGTACGTGAGAATGGCTTTGAGGCTGTGGGGATCACATGCACCAGGAAACGCACAGGACAGTAGGGATGCTAATCTGATGCGAAACAAAAAAAAGGTAAGTTTAATGGGTGTGAATTTGTAACTGGCATTTGACAAATTATTAATATTGATAGAAAAGCTAGAAAATGAAAATTATGTATTGATGTATGTTTTCAATAACATAATTACAATAGCCATTAAAACAAAAGTTTTATTGTCGGAGAAAATTAAATTAACGCATGACTTAAAAACTTGTTTAATAAGAATTAGTGTAGTTTAAGCTTATTATGCTTACGTTTTCATGCTTGGAAATTCTATTTAACTATTTTTATTTGCGTCAAATTTTTCCATACTATATACTAAATCAGAGAAAGAATGAGTATCTGGTTTTAATTATTCACGAGATATTTTGCGGTACACTTTAAATATTAATTTAGCACAAAAAATTAATTTATATCTGTATTTAAATTAACCATCAAATTATTTTATGAAGTTATTGAATTTAATTTTTAACAGAATAATAACTAGAAGGATGAAAATCATTAGCTTTTTTATTTTAATAAAAACTTGATTTGCAACAAATATAAACAAAAATAAAACATGAAATATTTATTTATTTTACTAATCCATAAATAAATTTCTTGTATCAAAGTAAAGTTGACTTAAATATAGTTCTAATTTATAATTTTTTGTTTTAGTACATAACATCACATTCTAAATTGTTGACAAATTTTCATCAGCATAAGGTTTTTTTTTATACATCATAAAGTTTTGTTCTTCTGGTAAAAATTATTTATTAGGTGTCCAATTTTGTTGTGCTTATACCTAAAAAATGTATTGATAATATGCTCAAAAACAAGTTTAATCTTATTTCATTTAGCAATTTACTAAAAATAAAATATTGTTTGATATAACTAACTACAAACAGCTTCGAAATATTTAAATGGCACTTAAAGTCTACTAATCTTAAACAAGTACTACAAATTCTAAAACTAACAAATTAGTAATAAAAAGACTTAGTAAAACATATAATTATTTTGAATCCTAAATGTAATTGTAGTTACACAAATCCCAATGTATAAAAGTTTTTGGTTTTATGAGCGAACAAACTGTGTAATTCTTAAAACATCAAGCTTAATAAATAACAATAAGGCAATAATATTTATAAATATCTATACCCATATTTAACCTTTTCTAAAAGAAAACCTTTAACTGCTTAAAAGTTATTTCGTTCTTATAGTAATGATTAGTTTTCCAGATATAAATTGGATTTGACAATTAAATATATCTACAGTTACACGAGAACTATATGTATATATATAATTTAATTAAATATTAATAAAAAGAATTAAAGAATTATCTTTATGAAACATAGAAAGGCTTTTAATTTTTCAATTAATCTTTGCATTTTTTAACAAATCCAGATTACAGCAATATAATAATTCTGAATGTGTTAGTTTATGTGTTGATTTACTAATTTAAATTAATGTCTCATGTCATAACCTTCTTCGATTTTTATTGTTCATGAACAAACTACTTTAATTTCAAATTCATAAATACAATTTATCCTACAAACTGATTGTTCATTTTTTTATGTAAACTAAAGTTTAATAATATTTTATTTTATTTGGGTATCTTGTTACTCTTTCTTATAAAAATATTATTTTACATTGACCATCGAAATTATCATTTTACTTTTTAAATAGATATATTTTGTTTGTTTTAATTAGGGTACTATGAATAAATGTTATCCTAATGATAATATTACATCAATTGAAAACAATTTCAGCAGCAACTTTAGATATTGTGGCACATTCCAGACCTTACAAGATTCTTTTATTGTAAGAAATCTAATATATCTAAAGTTTGCAACTTCCAGGCATTGAAATAAAGTTAAATTGCTAGATAATAGATTTTTTAAAGATTAACACGTGTTGGCAATAGAAATAAAAGTAATTTATTTGGTAATAAAAGAAAATTAGAAATCGAATTGAACATCAGCCAACCTAAAACAACAAACATGTTTAACTTTTTAATTACAGCCGTTGTCAATATTAATGTTTTTAATTAAGATTTTAGTTAAAGTTAAGATGTTTACACATTTCTCTATTTTGAATTAAATTATTTATATAATTAAAAGTTGTTGGTTAATATGTAACAATAATATTTTAATATAAGTTACAATTTCTTTTTGGTGTCAATGATTAAAATCACAACAAAAATCTTTAACTAATGGATTCAAAGCTTTTCGTAGTTTTTTTCATAATTTAAAAAATTTATTTAATTATCTTATATATGTATAAAAAAAGACTTACCATCATTTTCTACTTGTTAACTCAATGAAAAATACATGAATAATTTTTACATTTATGCAGATTCTATTAAGTATGTGATTTTAATTTGTTTTTGATGCATTAGCCATTAAAAAGTTCAATTTCAAATAAATCTATTGTACTTTAAACTTAAGATTAATTATCCTTAATAATTTTATTATTAATAACTTAGTTATTAATATTTATCAATTTATATATATGTACATTGTTAAAAAAAATAAATGTCTACTCAACTTGTATACTAAAGGGAAACATTAAATAATATTAACAATAAGAAAAAGACACAATAATAAGCCTAAAATAATTATAATGGCGACAATGTAATTCCAGAGAGAATAACCCACCAAAGTTTCAACGTAACGCGGTTAATCGAAAATTAAATATATTAATAAAAGGTTAGTGAAAAGTTTAAAATCGGTGGGTTCTAAGTTCACTAGATACAAGTTACTGTATTAAAGATAATATTTTTTAAGATAGTATATCCTACTGATTTTTAAGACTTCCTTGTTAAAAAATTATATTATAAAAATAAAATAAAAAATAATCAATTGTTTATTTTGTATTATAGCACCTATTTTTAATAGAATATATATAACTAAAAGAAAATAATATTTCGTATGAATTTGATTTAGAACTATTTCATATGACATACTTTCCTATCATATTTCAATAAAATTTTAATCATTGTTAATAACTGAAACATAAAGTTGTTATTTAATTATTTTAACAATCAAAATACTTTACTAACAATGTCAGTACATGGTAATTAAACCAAAACGTATAAATATAACTTTATGAAAGATTTATCTTTCATAAAGAATTAATAAAAGCATAAGACGATACATTTTTTTAAAACTATATAAAGTGATTCTTTTAATATAAGTCACTCAATTTTTCTTAAAATAATAATTACGTTAAAAAAATTATTTTGATATTTCTTAGTTTCATATATTAATTTGAGTATTATTATGTACTTTTCTCTTATACTTTACAAGGATGTCAACTTTATTTTATTAAATGGTAACATACATATTTAGCTAGCCTATAAAAAAAGTGATTGATTTATTACAACTTATGAGCCACTGTTTCGAAGTTAAATCAAAATATAGTGTAGCAGTCAATTATGGGTTATGTTATTTTTAATATTACGCATTATTCTGCCATATTTTAACTATAATTACATTTTTAATTATGTAATGATTAACACAATTTTGTTTATAAGTACTTTTTTATGTCCCATTCACCCTACACATTTTTTTTAAAAATTTAACATTTCATCTTTTACAGAAAGGTTCAAAATTTGAAACATTCGTAAAAAAAGTAGAACATTTTTTCCAATAAAAATAGATTTTTTAAGAAACAATTTTTAATATATATTTAAATTTTTGTATTATTTTTTAATAAACACATACTATACGCATATTTATATACATTCATTTTAATTTATTTTAAATAAGCACAGGTGTTCCCGTGGTTCGATCTCTTTTCCAAATAAAATTAACAAAATGATGAAGATGATTTTTTTTCATTTTGAAAGGATCTATGCTTTATACTCTTATAAAAATACTCACAATTATTAAATTACTCCAAATAATGTTGATTTTCTCATTGAAAAAACACAAATCAGTACTTCGAAAAGTATGTGTATCAATATCAGTGTAAACATAAATTTTTTGTTAAATAATGATTTTCCCACAAAAACTTATAGATTAAAATGTATTTAATTTTTATATCCCATTGTATATATCGAGTTTATTGTAATGAAAACTGATTTCTAAGGGTAGATTTTAGGGATAACATTCGAAATTCATACAGGCTTATTTTATTGCGAAGAATGGTCTAAAATAAATATTTACTAGTCGATAACCACATTTATACTATTACTTTTTGAGATATTAGCATTTGAAGATTTAGAAAAGGTGAGAAACGGTGTAGTGTTTAGCGACGCTCTATTTTTACAATAAAGTACAGATAAGAATTCTTCTACATTGCACACCCAGCTAGCCTGTAGCTAAAAGGATAACAATTCACCCATTTTCTAAGAAACTTTTGGAATAATTTCAATTTTGCAAAGGAAAATATGGTTTGATTAAAAAAACTCTACAATAATATGTAGTTAAATAATTTTTTTTTCATCCCTTCAGGGAAAAAATACCTAAACTTTTATTTTGTTTAATGGGAACCCCTATTTTTAGTTTGATAATATGATATAGAAAAAAAAATTCAAACATATTTGTTGTTATTATTTTGTTTATCCAATCAACGATTTGTTTTTAAATTGTTTAGAGATTTAGGTTTTAAATAGAAATTTACCATTAATTTGGTTTTAATATACCGAAACAACAAAAGTTTGTTCCAATGGGTCATAAATTATTGCCAGTATTTTTTTTTTTGCTATCGTAAGTAAAAGTTATGGAAACAACCATTGTCAATAAAAATCTGTGTATGTGACATCATGAAGAAAGGACAATTACTGTATGCTAAACAATAAATTATCATTAGAAAATTGGTAAAAAACTAAGCTAAAACTAAACTTAAACAAGTTACAATATAAGAACGATTCATCGAATAAAAAATATTATAAGAACAAAATTGTTTGATATATTTTTTCTATCATATTATCAATTAATATATATATATATATATATTTAGCACTACTAAGGATTTCTGTAGAAATGCGTTTAAAAATACAACAAAAGTAAAATAACTTTTTTAAATTATTATTATTTTTTTTATTACATTTTCTTAACTTATAAGGAGTATAAAAATATTTTAATCAATAAATTTCACACATAAAAATAACATACCACTTATAGTTTTCTAAGATATTATTAGAAACGTGTTTACATGATATTATTTACAAATGAAGCTTAATTAATAAACGTTTATTTGATGTTTTAGATTAATATTTTGCATTATAATATAGTATTATTACTTTAATATTTTTGATATTTATATAATATGTCATTATCTATTAAGGCAAATATCCATATTTGCCTTAAAAGGTCATGTCCTTTTTATAAAAGACACGGGCTATCAAAATTGACTATAAGTCTTCTAATATATAGCTCATAAAAGCTATTTTCACAATTAAATTATAAATTCAACGATATTGTAAAACAAATTATTTTAAACATCAAGGACAGTATATAATGTTTTAGCAATGCTGAAATAATTTTTCAAGAAAAAATGAAATCCAACAATAGTCGTATAATTAAGCATAAACAAATGGTTTGTCTGCAACAAAAAATATTTCTAATATATAAATATTGCATACTTGGTAAAAAATGAATTTTTCAAAAGACTACATAATGTATTTAACTTGTTTGATGTTTTGTTAATTATATCACGACAAATCGTTGTTTTCTTAAAAAATGTTAAAATGTAGATTACTAAAAAAGCTTGACATTGTTATCTTCTGAATTCACTAAAGTAAACGTTATAAAATTGAATTTGAAGTTACAACCAAACATTATAGCATAGTTAGGATGAACATTGTAAGATTTTCTTGTTTACAAATAAATTACAATACCAGTGTGAAATTTCTTTTAAACTTATTAGGTATAAATTCAAAAAAACTACCGAGTGAAGTGACAGTAGGTGTGACTATGTATGTGGTTGAAAACTACTTTTTAAATTTATAAGTATTATAATGAAGAAACGTTATTCTAATCTCACTAACTACAGTCGTGGCCTGCGAGCACGTATCTATTAAGCGCACTCGATGTTTAAATTAACTACACACATTTTACAACAATAACTTATTATGTGATGCATAATCCAATTTCCTGATAACAATAGATTTAATCAATAATTTACATCTATGGATGAAATTGAATTTTATTATACAAACATCAGCTTTAAAAAGTATAAACATACATGCCGTTAGTTAAGTAATATTTAGTCACTATTATTTTTAATTTTTAATGACAAACTGAACATACATAGCAAATATTTAGTAGTAATTGTCCTGTGGTAACTGTAGTAGTTATACCGACCTCGTGCTAATCTCGATCTCGAAATTTTAATAAAACAAGCACTGTAAACAACCTGAAGACAATATCAAAAATACATATTTTACCGCACGCACAAAGATTATTAGCTAAACACAAAAAACTGTAAACAAACGTTTTTGTATCATTTTCGGAGAAATACTTTAAGATATATTAATATTTTAATATTAGTACAGCTATAAAATATAAATTTTATACCATCAACATTCAAAACCAACCTACCCTCTTAAGTTGGGTACCCTCTTATTCGAATAAATATGAAAAGCTTATGATATAGCCTTTTGTTGAGACCTATTATGAGATTGGTATATTATAATACTATTTATACGGGTTTAGATATATTTACCAGTTTATTTTAATACAATAATATTATACTATGGATATCGTAATTAATTTATCTGAAAATCCAATTTTATAAATGATTCTATTCCATACCTTAATTAAATTATCTATCTGATTAAATAATTTAAAACGATTTAAATAGATATGATGTAGTAAATGATAGTAGTTTGGGTTTTCAATTAAAGTATTATGTGAGTTTAATTAAAATGATAAACTTATGAATTATAAATTATTATTATGATTATCACCATACTGCTGTTATTTTTGTATCGGCTTTTGAGATTAGATATATTATTTTTAAATTATTTATTTATTTTTTCTCTGACTTATAATATTTTTTATTATGTTTTGGTATCATAGGTCATAAAAATGTTGGTTATAGTTGTTGGGCTATTTGTTTTATGTTGGATGCCGCTACAAACATATAACGTCCTCCAGGATATCTTTCCATCTATTAACCAGTGAGTTCTTTTGTTATTTATTGAACAATTGCATTTACACAAATAAATACGAAGCAAAAGTAATAATACAAATATGAATTATATTTTTTAGATTTCGTTATATCAACATTGTATTTTTTTGCTGTGATTGGTTGGCCATGAGCAACAGTTGTTATAATCCTTTTATTTATGGAATATACAACGTGAGTATTAATTTTTATTTTATTTATGACTAAGTTTCCAAATATTCCATATGGAAATAACCTAATACTTGTATTTGTCCTCTAACGCTGAATGAAAACTTTAATGCATCAAAAGAAGTTTATCGTGGCCTTTACCATATCCTATTACTAACATTCTCGTTAATAATTAAGGGCACTTATAAGATTAAATTTTAATAATAATAATAAGAATAGGACGGTCATTTCTAATTTTCATTTTTTTGCGCATAGATATCATAGTTGTTCGAGATGATGGTTCTTATCGATAATTTGAATATTGAGAGGCTGAGACTAAATAGGCTGTACCTTAAGACCAAATCGATAACACAGAAATCCAATTATTCAAACGTTTATTCCGCAACTCGTAAATGACGCCTGTGAATTAAAATTTTTTTAGCCGTAGTAAAGAATATTTTTAATTAAATGATCGATATTATACCAAATTTAATGTACCCTAATTTACAAACATATTAAAAAAATTGCTTATATAAATAAATCTTTATAATTTTCTATAAAATGACATGCAGAAGCGTTTACGATTGCAGCTGTGGAAACATTCTTTATTACTTATTCGTGCCGCTCTTGTTTATATTATACACATCAAGTCAATTTTCATTTTGTTTATAATATACATCACAATATCGATGAAATGCTTTCAAAAAAAAATGTCATTTCTATTATACGCATTAACTCGGTTATGATGAATTTACGTTTTCAGGAAAAGTTTAAACGTGAATTTCGTATCAAACTTCGACATTTCCGCCGGGGCAGGTTTGGAAAATCTAGTAATCATCACGCTAGATCACCTTCGGTTAGATCGACAACGCTATCGGAATGGAAAAGGGGATATTCGACCCGTACACACCGAACTAACTTAAATGGACTAGTTGAAGGTAATGCAAGAAGAGACGATTTGGATATGTATGTGTTCAAATCTGGCAAAATCACGTTAGTCAAATGTGGTAGTCATTCCGACCTAGAAGAACTATGTTTATAATATATAAAACATTTTTATTATACTATTGAACGTTTTCAAATTCGTGTAATGTACTATTGTTTAAACTGTAAATATATTATCGAATCTCGGAAATGAAAATAATAGTCTACTGGTGTATATTCTCATAAATTCAATGTTTTACTAGTATACTATAGTAAATGCGTAACTAATTATATAATAACTGGTTACAAAAAGCACAACATTTATTAGAATCAAGTTTACGCGTATTGTACGCGTCAATTGNGTATACTATAGTAAATGCGTAACTAATTATATAATAACTGGTTACAAAAAGCACAACATTTATTAGAATCAAGTTTACGCGTACAATTGACGAGCGTGATCTGATTGATTATTGTTATGAATTATAGAACTATCTATGTGGGTGAAATGTAAATGTTACTTCATAGTAAAAAACTCTATGAGAACGTCTTTTCCGACGGTCAGATCGATAATAGTTGGTATTCCTCGCGAATACTATTACAATAAAGGCAAATAAGCATGACAGTACATTTAAGTCATTCGTGCAAAAATCAACAATATAGTGCTCAAAAATAAGAGTGATTTTTTGGAATCTAATCCAATACTATGTCCGTTATTTATTTTATGTTACTTTACATTCGTTATTCCGTATCCCTTATTTCAATGTATCAGACGTAGTTTAATAATCACTTGGAAAACAAATTTTTCTTGTTTTGACTTAAAAAAAGTATATTTGTAAAGTTTAATTTTTGATTTAAGGAAATAGAATATTCATTTTTTAAAATAAAAAATGTTGTTTATATAATTTTACGTAATATTATTATTTTTAATTAATAAAAATTACATAATTTTCAGATGTATATTTTTTAGTGATGGGAAATATCGAATAGAAACTATCGAACTATTCGATAGTTGTCCACTATTCGAACTATTCGGTTGTATAAACACAATTTGAATAGTTATACGATAGTTTAAAATATTTGAAAATGCCCATCACTAATTTTTACTATTATTAATTGTATAATAATTTATTTATAAGTATTCGTTAATTATCTTCTCATTATAATTAAGTATACTTAAAAAAATTTTTAGGTAAAACTATTCGATAGTCTATTCGAATAGTTTATCCCAAAAATAAACTATTCGGTTGTATAAAAACAAAAAACTAAAAATAGTTATTCGATAGTCTTAAAAATCTATGGAATACTATTCGATAGTTTAAAATATTCGAAAATGCCCATCACTAATGTTTTTATATATAAAAAAAATATTATTTACATGTATAATGAGCATGATTTTATTATATATAATTTTATGTACTTAAAATGTTAAAAACATCAACTTCCAAATTAATTAATCGTGGATTGAATGATATATTTCAGTTTGTCTAAAATGAGTAACAAAGTTAAATTGTGATTTTACTAAGTAATACTCCAAAATAATTATTTCACAATGTTTTTGTATACGTCAATAAATCACGTAAATCCTATTGTATTTTTAAATTACACTTTTATACGACAATAATTGATTTAGTACTTGTATTGTATTTTCAAAGAGTAATTTTTCAAAGTATTAACCAAACATTGCTTATTTACCCATTATTTATTGTACATTTTTTTTTAATCATACACTAGTTAATCCTATACCAATTAAAAGGTTATTTTATGTGTAATAAATAAATACTATAATGGTAACAAGAATAATTTATTTTTAAAGAGAATCCAAAGTTAATTCCCTATTCATAAAACGTATTAATGTAATAACACACTTATATTTTCTGAAATTTCAGGGGAGCTAAAGCACTTTCGAACAATTTTTTTCAATATTGTATTTATTTTTCAGTAATCGACTGGATTATATAAAAACGGATCACTTTACATTGTTCACGATTCCAAGATAAAGTAATACATCGTTATTTTAGAACTTCCTAACAAGCGATGCATACCATTTTATCTAATATATTTAAATTAAACTTAAATTCGGATATATTTAGAACAAAAAGTAAACTAACAAATAAATCTATAATTATTTGTTGTTTAAAAATGACACATTAGATAGATAATAAATAAATATTTATGATATAAAAATGATTAATTTTAATTGATTATTTAAATAATAATAATTATTATTATTTAGTTTCCTGAAAAATGAATTACATATTTCTGAACTTCGAAGTCTCGAAAAAACTAAGACTTTAAAAATAGTTTATTATATATAATTTTGTGGTGTTAAGGCAAAAGTGGATTTATGTAAAATTGTGAATGAATTTCAACCTTACAGTTTACATTCAGTTTCAGTTCCATTTTTCACATGTAAAAACATATACTAAATGTATTTGTTTTAAAACAAAAATGATGTTTTATACAAGTTGGATTTTAAAAGAAAATTTTTTAAAAGTTAGCAAAATACTAAGAATATGTTGAATGGTTATAACTGAGTATCTAATGAAAAACATAGAATGAAGTGTACATATTTAAATTTAATGTCACCACCAATATTAGAACAAATAAATTATGTAATTTACCAAATATATTGTAAACTAGTTAGTGATATAATAAGTCAAATGTGGTATAGATTTTTTTAATTTGTCAAAATGACTACAAGATAATATAATTCATTATACATTATTTTATTAAAGTATTAACTTATCTTTTTAACTCTAACATATTTTGATTAAAAAACTAATTTTAATGAATATTATATCACTTTTAGTCTTATTAATAGACATAAGTACAAAATATTACAAAAAAAAAGTAATATTTACTAGGTAACTTTTACCAATCAATATAATCAATAACATATAAATGTTTAGTGGATAATTTTTAACAACAAAAGAAATAATTTTATATAAAAATCTAGTTTTCTTTATCAATAAAGATGATTTGAGAAAATTACTAACTAATTTTATGACAAAATTGTTTTTCATTAAATTTTATATTTCCTCTAATAAAATGCGGTTTTTCATTTATCTCCCAGTGTTCAAATGAAAACTTAGGAAATATAATTCCAACTTCTCGGCGAACAGATTCATCAGAGTCTGAAAAGTAATATTAAAATAATTTTAAAATTTATTCATTATATTCCATAAATTAACTTTATTTTGTTTACATTGAGAATCAATATAGCTTGAGTTTCATGTAATTTACCTGATCCATGAGTGGCGTTTCTAGTGTCTGTAAGTCCATGTATAGCTCTAATAGAATTCGGGTGACTTATAAGGCTTTGAAATACTTTTGTAGGGCCCATTAAATTTCGCCAATGCATAATAGAGTTATCTTTAGCTAAAATGTATGACTCTGATGGACCACTAAATTAAAAAATAAAATGTTTAAGTTTTTTATTATAATTAAAATAAAATTATTTTTACTACCTAGTCATAAATGTAATAAGTCTGTTGTAAAAAAATCGTGATTTGTGTTCATCATAAAACTGTTCTACTTGTTTTTTAGATAGAGTCTGGCGTACAGAACGTATAACATAGAATTCATTTTCAATAATTATTCTTCTAATATCCTTTTCAAATTAAAAACATAAGTTTTAACAAATTCACTGATAAAAACTATACATTTTAACTAATTTTTACTTTACATGTAATGATTTATATCATTTTAAAATCCTATTTGTTTTTCATCATTTATGACCCTAAGGAATTTTTTAATATAAATATTTTAGGAATATATTTGAAAGAAAATTGATAACAAATATCAGATATATCCAGAAAGACAATTAGACAATTAATAATTATATAAGCAAAAGGTTAAAAATATTACAAGCTCAATCAATATATTGTATAACTATCTTTTCTTACCATTTCTATATTTTATTTTTATACTAAAAAAAAGAATATTATAAAGGCAATAAATTATAATACAATAATTGAATCTAAGGAACTTTTCCAATATCCTATTGGCCCAAAAGTCTCTATATAAAATAATAATAGTATCTACTATAGTAAAAACTACAACTGTCAGTAACTTTTACTAATTTTAAGAAATTAAATTCCTGAATCTTATTGAATAATTTTCGAATCTGTATGTTAACTTTACAAATTTGTGTTAAAAATAATGATCATTTCTAATAATGAATTTCAAAAGATTATATTAAGATAAAATAGGGTAAAAATCCTTAAACTAGATTACAATTTATGTATTGTATACTGCAATAAATTTTTGCAAATAATTATACCATATTAGTAATATTTATAACAAATAAACTTATAAATTACCTACATTTAATGAAAATGGATATGACACCACATGAGGCTTAATAATTGCCAATGTAAGCTGCAAACGGTTTGTCATATCATAAATAGGTATCACTTGTACCCATAATAATTATTTAAAAACATAAGTCAAATAATAAATACAGAATAGATTAATTAAGAGTAACAAATAATAACAGAAAATTAATACCAATTTTGCGAAAAAAATCTTATCATTTTGATATGAATTGTGATAACAATGTTAAAAAGGGAAATAATGAAGTTTAAAATGTAAGTTCAAATCAATGAAATATTTTCATTAATCCCTTGTAATGAGTCAACTAAAACAGTAAATTATGAAATTTTATACAATTAAAAAACTAACGTTAAATTTTATTATAGTATTGAAATGTACTAATATTTGTACCTAGAGTGCGCAGTGTGTTATTACTACCTAAATCTTTAATATTTATTTATTTTTTATTCATTTTTTTATCTTAAAATAATTAAAAACTAAATTTAAATATTTATTTATAATACTTTTTTATCCCATAGAAAATATATGTATTGCTGCTCTTAAGGTCAACAATATTCACCTACCAATAAACAAAGAGAATATTTCATGAAAACTAAGTATAAATAAAAAATAAAAATATTCAATTTCAATTGTTGTTATCCTATTGAGATTAAACACCTCGCGGTAAAAATTAAGTATTGTCAAAAAAACTCTTTAGTTTTTTATAACCAATTTATTAAAACAACTTATGGTAAATACTAAAATATAGTTATAAAAAATTGAAACACGCATAACATTCATAGAAATTGCTTGTATTCATAAAATTAATTACTTGCAATTATCACTGAAAATTCTTTTATAATTTATAAAACATACTTCATACATGCGATTTTACACCCAATTAAATTTGGTGATAAATTTGCATAATGTATCAATTTATTTAAATTCGTAGACGATAAACACTACAAGTAATAAGATTATCGGTCAAAAGTAAACCAAACATTGTTTATCTTAAGTAATATAGGTTAAGTATAAACAATAAGAACTTCATTAGTATGGGTAGTATAATGCATTATCTGGAAATGCATGAAAAAATAAAATGGAAATCCTTGGTAATTTGTTACTATTAATAGGAAGAAGGAAACAACCTTGATGTTTTTAATACATGGACTGTTTCAACGTTAACGGAAGCAGCTAGTGAACAGCATGTTCTAGCCATAAGCCATTGTAAATATTTACAATTGATATACCGTTCCCTTGCAAGTTATTCAAAAATCAGACAACACGAGTCCTGCGAAATGATAAATAAAATCATTCGTTCATATAAAAACACACGTTTATACTTAATAAACAAAAATACTTCCTATCAAATATACATGTTTATAAAATAAAAACACGTTGATATACAATGATATAAGTTCATTGGCTTTCAGGAAAGATCTAGAAAATATTTTAGTGCTGTCTCTAAAGCAAAATATATTAAATAAAATTTAAAAAAAAAAACAAGATTTGAACAACATAGATTAAATTTCAAATGTAGTTGTACATGGCCCTATTTTTGTAGGAGTATTTATTCATTGTAATACATTAGGATGTATTATTTTTCATAAGAATAACACGATAAACTGGGTGATAAAATTTTAAATAAATGTTGTATCTTATAATATTTTTCTTAAATTTTGTGATTTTAATTTTAAGATTGAAACGCTTTGTATCTTTACAAGCCAACAATTATTCAATTAAATGCAAAAATATACAATTACGATTCCTGTGACAATTTGACACAATCATAAATCATGAATATACATATAATTAATAACGTGTACATACGTCAATGCTTCCCTAAAAAGTCAACTGTCCACAGATCAAAGATGTTGCTTATTGTAAATAGAATTAAAAATAGTAGCTCGTGACAGTTATAAACTGCTAATTATTAAAATAATGACGAAAATTAATTCCATCAAAATAAACCCACCAAAAAACATTGTAGTAATAACGATTAAATAAATACAAGTTAGAATTTATTATGTCATGTATAAATGTATGTTGAGCTCTTCAATATTAACAAACATATAACGTTAAATATCACATTAAAATTTAATATGATATTTTTTAAATTAATTTTAATGTGAATTAATAAATAAACTATTGGATATTTAATTAAAGTATTTTATAAATAATATTATTATTTTAATGAAAAAAAATTGAATTATTGAATATGTAATAATATATGTTAGTCAATAAAAATTATTAACATATAACTCTGATAAACTATAAAATAATAAACTAGTTATATTTAATGAAAAAAAAAAAATTAATAGTAGCAATAAATATTATAGGATACTTAATATTATTAAGTTATTAAATTATTTTAAAAACACACGTTTGGTCGATTGATTGAAAAATATTTCAATAGTTATATAACAACAAAGAATTTTTGTATAAATTATAATAAAAAAGTAACTTATTTTACAAAGAATTTAAAGACCTTTTTTCCGCATACCAAATTAATTACTGTATACTTATGTATTACCTTTGATATAATTAATTATTACGAAGAAAATTTAGTATAATGTATGTGCAACACCAATAGTCTAGTGTTTTAATTTTTTTGCATACTATATATTTTACTATTATATAAAAATGAATTGTTAATTTGTAACTTGCAATGCATTAATCTGATTTTTTATTGCAAGTTACTGATAAAAAAAGGTGATCTGAATACACAAGGAAATGTTTTACAATTGCAAGTGAATATAGTTATTACATAACTTTCATTTATATACAATAATTTATAAGTCACAAAATGGGATTACAGGATTGTTAATGTATGGAAAAGAGTGTCAACAAAATTCAGAAAAAAAACGTTTTTTTATTAAAAAATAATATCATTAATTGATTTTTTTATTTTAATCAAATAAATTGTTTGTTTTTTAATAGAATATTTTAAAGTTATTGTTTTAATTGTATTATGTTTCATTTTAATCCTTTTAACAAGATTAAAACTGTGAACTCTGATCATATATTAAGAAATGGAGTACAAATTTTATTGAAAAGATTTATTTTTTTATTTAAAAAATGTCGATTTTCGTAAAGAACCATTCAAATTATAAATTTGTGTTTACTTTCTTAAAAATGATTAAAATTGACATATTAGTTTTGGAAAATTATCCCACATATACAAGATATATACAGAGTTTTCAATAATTTTGAATATGATCTATCGTATAAGATCTGTAGCAATTTTTTGGGTAGTACTGAATGATATCTGCAGTGATTAAAACACTGACAAAAAAGGCTTCATTGCGTATTTGAAAAAATGTTAAAAAATTATCATATTCAATAAAATTCTACTGTTGTACACTAAAAAGGCCTCGTAAAAGTTAAATCATTGAATAAAGCGTGTTTATTTAATCGTATAATCATATAAAAACCTTTGTGTATACATTTGAATTTGATTTAGATGTTTTGTTGTATCGTAATTTAAAAATTAAAGTATTTGTGTATACATTTGAATTTGATTTAGATTTTTTGTTGTATCGTAACTCAAAAATTAATAAAAATTAAATTAAAAATAGAATTAGATTGAGAGTAAGAGTTAAAAGTTAGAGTGAGAGTTATTTTGGGGTGTGAATTGAGGGTTATAAAATAACAATATACATATTCTTATGGATTTAAAAATTTTACCTGATAATATTTCTTCAGTTGTTATAATAACTTCAATGATATTATTAATCAAATGATAAATAAAGTAACACAAATTCAAGTTTTAGTTCACAGATCAAGTATGTATGAACTTTGACAATGATGATCGCAATATCCACGTAACGATATCTAGAGCACGAAATGAACAGGCGAGAATAAGAGTTTGCTTTGCCTTATTATAACACTTGTTACCCCCAAAAATCATCATAGTCTAATTCTTACAGTATAAGGATCATGTCCTTCTAAGAATATACATAAATGTATAAATGTATAAATTACCCGTGTTATGGTAGTGACGAGTATATTACAACAGTTGCTTTTCAAAATATTTTTAAATCGGCTGATTTTACTGAAAATTGTAAGATTTTTCGCTCTAGTAGCCGATAACTTCTAGAAATCAGTTTTAGAATACTTTTTTTTTCTTAAAGTATATTTTATTAGCTTTAATTTAATGTTGGTTTATATAAGTCAGCTTCTTCGAATATAATTAAAAATTTGAAAGAAAAAATTTTATATGATTTTTATGCCCTCCAATCACTTGGTTAATGACCGAATTTTTAATAACGTATGTCGTCGGAAAGTTTAATGTTTAAAGTATAGCTAATAAAAATTTCATAATGATGCGTCCAGTTTACAAAAAGTTAAAAAAAGTATATTTTTGTTATATAATTGTTTCGTACTGTCAATTTTTTTTTTTTAATAATAGAAAATTATTGTGTTTATTGAAACACTTAATTAACAATTAAAGTTCAGTAAATTAACGGCGATTTACTGTCTACTCAATTCAAAACAACTTTGCATACTATTCTACTAGTTTATACTCATAAAGAAATATAATTATTTGGATAACGTTGTCGTCATGTGGTAATAACAATTAACGACAATGTGTTAATTAATCGACATAATGTTTTATGTATGTTTTGAATACGTTTTTCAAATGAGGTATGGTAAAAGAAATGCAGGCACGTCAAACATGATAAAAGAATGATGCACACTTTTGTGGGTGTAACACATTAAGCTTCGTTTAAACAACGCAATATCACATGGTTGAGACCTTAGTAGGGTTAGTTGGGGGAACTTTCAACGTCTGAGTATTGTTCAACATTTTTTATTCGTATGTGAAACAAAAAAAAAGAACGTGTTTAGTTCAGTGTAGTTGCATAACGCGTCTGGTAGCTGTGGTCAGGGAAACAGTTAGGGAAATGATGCGCTCTTCATCAATCCAACAGTTGTGGCGCTTGTCGGTTCTATGCGTGCCGTCCATGCATTGCTCCGTTACCGCGGCGCTTGCCGTTTTGAGTCTGCTGCTCACACAATCGTCTCCGGCAAATTGTTTCAGCCTTTCTTGGTAAGTGAATTAACACAAATGAATCGAGTTTTTCTTATATAAAAAGCTACTTAATTAGTATTACATTGACATTTAAAATTTAAATATAATTTTTATATAAGAACTCTTTTGGTCTTGTACAAATCGTATTTTAAAGCATTCGTTAATGAAATGTTCTGTGAATCAATTTATACAAAACATAAATGATACTTGTTTGCTGGTAGGTAGGGTTAAGTTGTCATATTAATGTCATTTATCATAATAATCATTATAATTATATGTTTACGGAAGAGTATTCAAGCAGGAGATTATACAATAAGTTGTAAATTACTTACATATTTTTTAAAACTTTATGAAAAAATTTACTTAGTTCTATAAACTAATGATTATTTTCACAGTGACTTTGTTTTTTTTTTTTGTTGTTGTTAAAAGGATGGCAGCACCTGCCCATTTACTTAGACCTGTAGGTCCATAAAGCGTACTAAAGCTTTATTCAGTGCGCACAAAAATAAACATGAAATTGATTGTGAATTTATTCAAAATAACTAATTGATTAACATAGTTAGTTTTGAGAGGTTGGGGTAAAAATATTTCACATGGAATGCGTCCTAATATTCATTATTGAGATATTTGTTTTGTAAATCTTATCATAATTATATTATCATAATAATATGCAAATTTAAATTTATCTAGTTCATTAAAATGTTTTTTGGATAAATTAAGAATCCGCCCTAAATGCCGTTTGTAAAATCTGACACGACAAGCAATACAAAATACACTTTTATAGTCTCAACATTACATCCCCTTTAAAAATAAGTATTTGTTTTTACAGTTAGAAAAGTAATTTTTTTGGCACTACTTATTTACTGTCAAATTATTTTTTTTTTAATTTTAAAGAATAATGCCATTGAAACTTGAATATTTTATTGATTTGATCTATTTATATGGTAAAAACTTATAAAGTTTAATTTAAGTGTTTTGAAAACCGATAAAACAAGTTTGAAACCGTTTTCGTGTAATATTAACAATAATAATATTAAAATCTATTACCTTATTTTTGTTTTTTGATGAAATGCATAAAATTTTATTTGTTGATAAATATAAACAACGAAATCTGTGATTATTTCCAAGTTATTTTATCAATTATCTAAATTATGACTTTTAATCAAAGTATTCAAATGTATAGTAATTCCAATTAAACACCGTTAGTTTAACAGTTAAATATATTTTATCATTTACTCGTACATCTTTGAAATAATTTTTTTAAAATTATTAACTGTAATATTTTACATAATATTTGCATAATTAACCAGGTTTTAACTTGGTAATTACCTGAACTGTTATTAAACAATTACCAAATTTTGTTATCTTTATTTATTATTAAAACTTATATTTTGCATTTAATTATAATTTAACTACATTTAGTTTCAGAAAACATTTACATTTGTATATCTGATGACTTTTTATTAATATAGTATGCAAAAAAGGAATTATACTAATTCTTTGATTAAAATTCGTAATGACTAGACTTTATTGCTTGGTCTAATCTATATAAACACATAATGGATTGAATCGATTACTACGAATTCTGCTATAAACCAGAATAAACAAATGATATATGTTTATATTCATGATTTATTTTATTATTAAAACATTCCTAGGGACACATATGAATAAATTAGATAGTAATTATTTTGCAAAATTGTAAAAGAACTGTTCTCTTTTACAATTTTGCAAAATAATTCTTAGTTAACCATTTAACCATATTTTGATTCTTTTAGCTTAAGCAAAAGATTTATTAATAATTTTTTTTAATCTTCAAATTATAAAACAGTTATGTGGAAATATTTTGAGAATAGATTTATAATTAGTTAGATAATTTTGCGTTTCTTCGATTTTATACGGAGCATTCTAATATTTAGTAATAGTAACAATAATATAGTAGTAGTAAACTTATAGTGACATTACATGTTATGAGGAGTATAGCTGTTTCTATAGTTATTGAAATTATAAAGGNAGTGACATTACATGTTATGAGGAGTATAGCTGTTCCTATAGTTATTGAAATTATAAAGGAAACACAATTTTTTTTTTTTAATATGCAAAAGTCAAAAAGTCTCCATGTCCCCAATAAAATAATAAAAATTGTATAAAATTAATTTTTGGGAAAAGATAAAGTAATGTGATAAGGAAGCTCTTCGTCTGGGTAAATTTATGAAATTGATTATGGAACTATAGCTCCCACGAGAAAATATTTAAGCCGCCAGGAATTTATGAGTTTTTAGTAATTTTTGACTCGTTTTTGATAATNAGAATAGATTTATAATTAGTTAGATAATTTTGCGTTTCTTTGATTTTATACGGAGCATTCTAATATTTAGTAATAGTAACAATAATATAGTAGTAGTAAACTTATAGTGACATTACATGTTATGAGGAGTATAGCTGTTCCTATAGTTATTGAAATTATAAAGGAAACACAATTTTTTTTTTTTAATATGCAAAAGTCAAAAAGTCTCCATGTCCCCAATAAAATAATAAAAATTGTATAAAATTTATTTATGGGGAAAGATAAAGTAATGTGATAAGGAAGCTCTTCGTCTGGGTAAATTTATGAAATCGATTATGGAACTAAAGCTCCCACGAAAAAATATTTAAGTCGCCAGGAATGTATTCGTTTTTAGTAATTTTTGATAATTTAATATGTAATAAAATAAATCTTAGTATACATTTTAAAAAGTTCAAAAGTAAATTCTATTTTAAAACTTTTCTAAAAACGCTTAACTTCAATAATATGAAACTTAATTGATGTATTAAAACTTATTAAGTGTTATAAAACTATATCAATTTAATACGCAATATTTAATTTATATAGGTTTAATTATGTATAATTTATTATAATATGAAACTTTAATTTTATACTACTCTCTTATCCAAGGCAAAAGCTTGGCTTTTTGTGCTATGTAATATATATTACATATATTTGTATTTTTTATCATGTTATTTGGCTTAAATAAATTTTATTTCTTATAGATAAGAAAAATTGGAGAATCAAGAATTGTACATTCTGTTTTAATGTATTAATTAGATTATAAGAAATGATTGGGATAGATAAAAAATTGGTTTAAAGATAGCTTGAAAAAAACATCCAAAAATACCAACAAATTGTTATGGTTTATTTTTTTGTTATGATTAAGGCTAATAAATATGATTTTGACAACGAAAATGTTTTTATATGCACACGATGCGCGTCATTGAGTACAGAAATAGGATGTACACACGAAAATATGGGTCACTTTGATGGGCAAAGAACCAGAGTAAAATATAATAATAAATATCCCTTAAGATAATATTTGTATACTACGCCAATACACATTAATCACACATTTAAACATGTGTGTAGAATATGAAAAATATGAAGCTCACGATGTAATGTATGAAGTACAATTTTGAACTCGGCTCTTGGGATAATAGATTTATTTCTTGTTACTTTTTTTAAAAACTGAATTCTCGTTTACTTTCTCTGCACGACTTATAATAATAATAGAATACATGATAGTTAAACGGGTTGGTTTGTTTATTTTTGACTTGCCTCTTACAAAATTAAGGGTCATCGAGAAGCCACAAAATGTCGTCCGCTAAGTTGTCTTGTTGTATTATCTTAAGTATTGTACTTGTTGTATATTGTTACCTATTCATTGCTCGCGAGTCGTGTTATTGTTTACAGAATTTATTTTCACACTGACCTCATGCAAGTTCATGGTTACACATGAATCCTACGCGAGAGTCACAAGTTTTGTAATGCATAATGCGATATAATTACCATAAACACTTGCTCTTACTTTCACTAAAATGTTACATTTTCTCATGATTCTTTTCTAGTGTTACTGTTTTATAATTTTATTGTAATCAACAGTTAAATCAAGCCTACCTATCCCATAAATGATAGGGAAAGCAAAAAAATATCATTTACTAATTAAATGTGCACCAAAAAAACTTGCATCTTAAAATTATTTCAAGTTTCTATTTTATTTTTATTATTATTATTATAATTTAAAAATCAGCAAGAGAATATACTTTTTCTTACAAACAATTTTACGTGCTTATTAACTCTTTTGTTTGTACTATATTGTTCATTAAAAAATTTTGTGGTATATCTGAGGAAGTTATTATTACCACAGAACACGCATTGAGGTAGAAACCAACCGAATTGTATTTATAGAATTTTTACTTAAATAAATTAGTTACGCAAATGGCATTTGAAATGTTAATTTTACAAAATTTTGGTGTCAAAAAGTTAGACTTATTTTAAATTGAAGCGGTTTTCTAGCTCAGACGGGAACGCATAAAGCCTTTTTGTGAGTACTAGGGTTTGATTTTGTTGTGATGAAATCACAAGTGCAGGTCTAGAATTTTTTAATAGGTGAAGGTGGTCAATATTTTTCAGTTTTAATTTTTTTCTTATTATGCGATTATAGTTCAAGAGGAAGCGTATATACTCTGTAATAGCTTTTAAAGTGACTATAGTATTGTAGTAATCATTATTATTACTCATATTAATATTAAATTTTTTCTGTTCAGGTTTTTTAATGATAAATTTTATCGAGCATTAGATCCACCAAATTACGGTGAAGATTTTATGTACCCTGACGAAACAGTACAGGATAGTAATGTGTACGATGACTTCAGAGTATATTGGAATGTTCCAACATTTCAGTGTCATAAGTATGGATATAACTTCACTGAAGTCGGTGAATGGGGAATAAAGCAAAATATTGCAGATAATTTTCGAGGTGACCAGATCAGTCTTCTTTATGATCCAGGTCTTTTTCCAGCTCTTTTACAGAGTGGTGGAAGTGCTCGTAGTGATTTTGTCGTAAGAAATGGCGGAGTACCACATGAAGGCAATCTTACAAAACATTTACAAACATTTAGTGAAGACATAGCTTATAGGCTTGTACCTGATACTCAATTTTCTGGTTAGATACACGTTTTTATTTTAAATTTGTGTTAATTATATTGAATTAAAATTTATCATATTATTTCCTAACATTTTTTTTTTTAATTTTATGATCTATTTTTATTCGATTTTCTTTTTTGGGAAGTCATCATGAATTATAATGATATCACTTTTTATATTTAGGATTAGCCGTGATTGACTTTGAGCATTGGCGACCCATGTTCGATGAAAATTTTGGAACATTATCTTCATATAGGGAATATTCTATGGATATTGAAAGACAACAACATCCATTACGGCCTAATGAAATACGGCAAAAAGAAGTAAAAAAAATTTACTTAATAGTATTTCTTATTTTATTTGAATCATTTATAAATATAAAACATGTATTTAAATGTTATGTTATTTACATAAAATTACTTGAAATTTATTTGATATTTTAAACAAATTTTCAAAGGCAATGCGAAAATTTGAAAAAGCGGCTTCACAGTTCTTATCAAGAACTTTACAAGTAGCCAAATTATTGAGACCTAAAGCATTTTGGGGGTACTATGGTTATCCATTTTGTTTCAACTACACTCCGAAGAATAATCAAGCGAAATGTTCACAGAATGTCATTAAAAATAATGAAAAGTAATGTAATTTTATTTTAGAACTACTAAATACGTAAACTTTTAAAAACTTAATCAATAAATATTTAGTTTATTGAAAACTATATACATTTAATAAAATTATTTTCTTTTATTTCTTTATCCAGATAAAAGTAATAATTTTTAGAAAAAAAAATTAATTCATCCTAAACATAGAAAAATAAATTATACGTCAACATTTTCAACTTACAATAAATTACTATGGGAAATATTTATTATTTAGTTTCTAAAATATCTGTAAACGGTTCAAGTATGTAACTTAATATTTTGTAAGCCTTTTAATAGAGAGCTAATACTTAGTTATTAGTAATGTCTGAAATAGTTAGTATTTTCATTTCTTTAGATTCTATGTAATAATAAAACATCGTTGAAATTAATCAGTAAGAGTGTGGTAAATGGTTTAAAATTATACACAATATAATCATAGATCACGACTGTGTCATTTTTTCTCATTTCTAGTGAGAGTAAACTTTTCATGCATAAACTATAATTTTACACGAGACAATAATGAATGAATTTTCTTATAAATATGAGCATAGTTAATTAATTGCTAATACAAACGTATATCGATGATCATATGATAATTGAATACTATTTATTTCAATCAGATATTTATTAAATCTTTAAATTATCATGCTGGATTATCATTATAGACGTTATGCTTTCGAATTTTAATTACTATGTGTTTTTTATATTGATTATCAAAATAATTATAAATTAGTTGTGCCCATTGTTCAACTTAAATTATTGACTATATTTTTTAAGCATATTAAAAATATTTATAGGATTGATACAGTAGAATCATTTTGATTTTGTATATGGGAATATACTCAAGAAAAATTTTATTATTCACCTAATTAAATAAATTATATTTTTCTACATAATTTTTCTCAAACAGTAATGATTTGGTGCTAACAATCTTTGAGATTTATATTCCTCTATTAGTAAAGATCTAATGGAAGAGTAAAAAATAGAAAAGGCATATAATTAAATAAATTTACTATACTCTTATTCTTATCAATAATATTCAATCACGGTTTATATGAAAAAAAAATATGTAAATTTACATATATAAATATATTTAAAATGTAGAGCTTAAGTATTTTTATGAAGTTGTAGTAATAATTATTTTTTAAATATCTTTTTAATTTTATTTAACATTTTATAGAGCAAAGTGGTTATATGAAGAAAGCAGTGCTATATATCCTTCGTTGTATTATAAATTTGAAGATATGAATGTGGAAACTAGAGCTAGATTTATGAAAGGTAGAATGGCAGAAGCTCTACGTGTTGCTAAAATGGCTCAGACAAAAATACCTGTATATCCATATACGTGGCTTAAATATTATGACACAAAACAATTTGTTGACAAAGTATGTATACTAAATATTTTTCAAGAATCGAGAAGTTTTATTATGTAATATTTATAACGATTAAAGACAATTTTTACTACGTTTGGGTTCTATGTATTATTTTGTTTAATGTAATTATTACAATAATAATTGTTTAAACTATTCAAACAGATTTATTAATTTTTTAAAATAATAAATTAGCTTGCTAATAACTTTATGGTTTTAAAAATGTATTCTTATTTTTTTAGATTGATTTAATGAACTCTCTTATGATTCCTAAAAAAAATGGAGCTTCAGGAGTTATTATATGGGGTGCCTCAAATGATGTTAACAGCGAAAAAAAATGTAAGGCAATGATGAATTACTTAACCAATACATTAGGACCAACAATAAAGGAATTTTACAAAAATAATAAAAAACAATTGAAAAGAAGAAAAGCTAAAATGGATAATATATTTAACTATTTTATTGGATAATATAGTAATTATAGAGCTAGTAATTTTGTTACCTGAATTTGTACATACAACTTAGTTAATTAGTTATTAAATTATTTGTAAATAAATTTAAATATTTATTGAAAATAAAATTGAAAAAAAATTTTTAATTTATTTGTTAAAGTTTTCCTAAAACACGGTAATTATTCACATGTTCAATATTTTGACTAATGATCACATTTAGCCATTTTTGTATTTTTAATATTAACTTTTCTACATTTTGTAATCAATAACATCTATATAGTGAAAAATAATGATCACGTTTTTCTTTAGTTTCCCTGTGACAAATTGACTACATAAAAAATCCAAATCTTATGAGTATACTTAATTGTGATATTAAAATATATAGTTAAAAAAAAATTTAAGAATATAATTAAATTTATTTGTGTAACACTAAATATATATTAAATATTAAAATGCATTATCGATAAAATATTTTCATCTTATTTAATTACGACTCAGTAGTATATTTTTTATTATAGATTATTAATATGTTTAATAATTATTTACATTATATAGCTATATACAGTTTTCAACAACTTTATTTTAGACAATATTCTAATCATTGAATATTAATAAACATTATTAATTATAATATAGTACAACAAAAATAATGTATAATATATAAATTATAATATGAATAGTAAATGTTCGACCTAATTTAAATTTAGACTGAATACTTAAGGTTATAGTTAACAAATACACATCTTAACTATAATATATAAAAATATAATAAAATATTTCAAAAAATTTGTTATACGCTTTCTTTATACAATTTAAAGTTTATTACAGGTTTTTAAAAAAAACTGCTTGAACACTTAATAAAATATTATTTATCCCAAAATAATGTTTATAAGTCTTTATTACTTAATTTGATATTAATGGTCTTGAATAACATCGCAACTAAACTATTTATAGTACATGTTTATATCACTATTCAATAGTAAAGTCTTTCATTCAATTTACTGGATATTACAAAAACAAATTATATAGGGTAGCAAGTCTGTTTTGATATGTTTAATAAATTTTGATTCATCGAATATGTCATGATATTTTTCCTTTTTAATAATTTTTACACTTTTGTACTACTTTTAAAACATAATTTTTTATTATTTATTTCTAATAAGAAAAAAATTAAAAAAAATTGTTTAATAAAATAATATTATTATAATTTTTATGTTTTTTCTTATTGAAGATAAACAATAAAAATTATGTTTTAAACGTAGTCCAAAACTATTTCAAAAATGTTTAACAGACAAAATATTCGCTGGATCAAAAGCTATTTAAAATATCAGATCAGGCTTGGCCACCCTGTATGTATGTGTTACCTATTAATGATATATTGTAATAACTATATAACGTCATAAAAATATGTTAATTCATTTTTATTTTTAATCTAATGACTTTCAAATGAACGTACGTACATAATAGTGTTTATTATGTACGTACGAAATATCTTGTTAGTTGTGTTAACTAACAAGATATTTCTTTCAGTAAAACATACAATAATTATTTACATCACACGCAACATAATCATTAGAACGTTAAATTATTCGATTTCAATAAATAATTTATCTTAGATATAAAATGATTTTAAATAATAAAACTAATTATAACAAAGATAACATAAAATCTACTAATCTATCATCAGTTAAACTTAATAATACTATAAAGAATTACAGGACGAAAGAAGACTGCAGTAACTACAGTTAGTATATGCTGACGAAAAATAAATTTCGGCAGTTATAAGTACACCAGCATCACATATGTTATGATTTTATTTAGTTTAGGCCACAAATATTTGTATCCAACATAAGTAAATCATAAGATAGAGTTCTTCCTCTAGGTTTTGTAACAGTTACTTGTATAACATATTTAGAAGATGATTGCAGCTGTAATATTTTCTTAACGTTCACTTTCCTAACAAAAAATTTAGTAAAATATTTAATAATTCCTAAACCAATCAAACAACATCAAAATTTTTCATAGTGGCAAATCAAAAATTGTTCACGTCAAAGTGGCTTGACAAAAAGGGTTGGTTTAAAAACTTGACAACTGAACAATTTTATTAAATCTTTAAATTTAAATTGATTACTAAACATTAATTTTCAACATTTTCAAATCAGATCAATTCTTTAGAAACGAAATTTGAAACGAGTTTAAATATTAATTGACAATTTATACATCGCTGAATATAAAAATTATTTTAACAGACTTAAATATATAAATATATAAAAATGTTTATTAGGCTCAAGAATAGATATTTAATGCTAGAAAAACCTAAGCTAAAGAATAAATAAGTCTGTTAAAATATTAAGTTTAATTTTTACTTTCAATTTAAGAAAAGTGGAAAATTTAATTTTCAGTCGTGTAATGTTTTTTAGATGTACCACAAATTTTATTTCTATAACATTTTCTATTGAAATAATTTTAAAATTAAACTTACAAGTTATCTCCCGTGTAACATTTTTTTTTACTTAAGACAATGTCATTTCTTCTATTTCTGCCATATAGTATGGAACATTGATCAGGCTTAGGCCAAAAGTCAATATTGTTACTGTATCTATATTTCCATTTATAAACACAATATATCTCGTCAGACTTTGCTGGAAGCCAACCAATTGTCACCGATTTACAATCATTAGATACTTCATATTGTTTGAGGCTTAAGTCACTAGGTATTTCTGGCATAGGAAATAACTCAGGATGCACAGTGGCCAAAACCTATTAAAAATTTCAAGAAATTATTAAGTATTATGAAAAGTAAACAGGCAAAACAAAATAAGTAGTTATTTTGCATTACTGTATGTATAGACAATTAAAATATGAAAAACATTTGGTTTAACTAGTATTTAAATTTATTAAATCATTTTATAAATATTACATACTTCAACTGTTTTTACGAGTTGAGTTTCATCTACAGAAACAGTTTTTACTTTTAAAACGTATCTTTCTCCTTGTTGTGTACCATTTAATATTATTTTTTCATAGCCAAAAACTCTCTTTTTTAGCAAAACAATTTTTTTGTGTCTAATTTCTACATCAACGACACCATTACATGACATTACATACCAATACAATGTATTTGTATTATTACTGTATGATGGTGACTTTTTAGCTACCTAAAATCAATTTTAATATATTAATAATTTATTCGAAAAAATTATCCGACTTATCCCTCAAAACAATTCCCACCAACCTTGTACCTGAAGGACACTTTTCCACTTAATGCCCTCAGATTGACTACTTTTGGTTTTGCGTCCTTTAATCCCAATGGTTTAGGTTTTAAAAACGTATAGACTGCAGTTGCATATTGCATAGCAGTTATACGTGAACCATTCACTGCAAAGACCGTAAAGAAATATGTTTTATTATACACAAGGTCAGTTAATGTATAATTCGTTTTATTCCTCAAATACTGTATCTAAAAATAATATTTTTTTTTCATTATATTAAAAATTCATAAATATTATTATAAAATTTTATTCTTTTTTAAGACAAAAAACAAATGTTTTATATACCTCTAACCGATCGTTCTTTGAAATGTCATCATCATCATCACTCGAAGAGATCAACTTTTGTTTTTCTTCTAATCTACCCTCTGCTTCACAAAGTGTTGAGTAAATTTTTGAGGTACTGATTATTAAGTAATACTCAATCAAATGATAATCGATTTGACTGAAATTATTTTTAAAAATGCAATATTATGATACAACACAGATGTTTTCAATTAAAATGTATTACCTTACTTTCCACCTCAAAAATACTTTTTGACCTCCTCTTCTTATTTTTATTTCACTCGGGTAAAAACCTAATGGTTTAAAAGGCGACTTCTGTCCATAGGTGACATCAATCCTTACTTGAAGTTCATCATCAACTGCTTGGACAGTTATAACATAAAGGCCAGGTTTAGCTATAGGACGATGGTAATTTGATGGTATCGAAACAGCTGTATACTCTTTAAGTTTTGTTCCTAATTCGCTGAATTTTTGACCCACTTGAAAAAAATTATGTTTTTATTATAATTTAATTTCTTTTATTCTCTAATTAAATAAGTATAAAATTTTTACTTACAAATTTGTATTTGTTGGTTTTTTTCATTGGGAATGAATTTTACAAACCAGTTCAGTTTTGAACTACATGGTGTAACAGTTAATGTTAAACTTTGTTCTGTTTCTTGGGGTATTAAAACATATATGCTGCAAAAATAATAATATTTTTAAATATTCTTTTATCATCATATAATAATAATTGATCACTTGTGGCTAGTGTTATTTAAAATTGAAACATTTTTATTGTTATTTCCTTATTACCATAATAATATTTTAAATACCATTTTTTTATTTATAGATACAAGACGTTGCAAGTTATTTCTAACAATTTTACGAAATTTATTAAACATGTTAAAATTTTATAAGGATTAGTTCCGAAAAAGATTAATAGTAATTAGTTATTTCTGTTTTATAATTTAGCGCTAGACATTGAGATTTTCCGAAGAGAAGCAAAAATATTGCGAGGAAGGTCGAATACATAACCATATTATCTATGAGTTTTTCCAAGAATAAACTAAGAATACAATACCATCGTTTCCGGTAAAGGTGTAAACACTAGACATTTAAACAGATCAAATTTTTTCTGATCAGCATTTCTATTAGACTAGACGGTGTCATTAATTACAGACATTTATGGTACAGACTTGGGTTATAACTAATTTTTGATGAGGGTATAAAAAATTAATTCAATCAAATGCATTCCTGCAAAATATATGCGTTGTTATAGAACCATTCAGTTTATTAATTGGCTGTTTATAAGTATAACATATATATTTGCAGATTCAATCATATTATTTATTTTCCCAGACAAAATGTTGCTGATGTCATTCATAGAAAAACACGGATTCTTCTTAATTTCGGGATGCAGATTTTTAAACTAGACTAATTATAAAATCTAGACAAACATTTATTTCCACGTCTATTAATGATAATGATATAAAATTATGATCAGTGTGCGTATTTTTCTAGTGTCTGTAGACTGTTTTACGGTATATTGTCATAGTTAAATAAATTCTAACTAATCGTTACATTTTAATAAGTTAAATTTATTGTAATATAATTGTATTCGTCTGTATGTAGGTGTATACACTTACGGAAAAATTAATTTAACATATAAAAGTAGGTTCTTATTTTGAGTAAAGATACAAAAGATGTTTTTTTAGTTACAAGTACAAAATTACTACAAATAATATTAAAACGTAAAAAATGAATGAATACACACCGATAATATTGTTTTATTCTGTTTAATTGAATATTAACGAAAAAGAACAATTTCTTAATCCAAATTTTCCCTCTCAAGTATTATTCAAGATTGAAAAAGTGTATTTTAAATGTGCAGTGCATAAAGCGTCAAATAAAAAAACAATTATTTATTCAGCGTAAACTTCCTCGAGTCAGTGCGAGTTTGTTCATTCGAAAATACTTTTTGGTGAACTATAGATTAGTAATTCATAATCTTAAAATTGATGCAATGAATTTCATTGTTAACTACTAAACTTAATAAATAACAAGTTTGATTTTCATTAATAATGTATAAATGCATATTATATCTATTCGAAAGTGTATAATATAAATAAAATTTTAGATTTGATAAGGAATCTTAATGTCTAGACTGAATTTTTTTTTTGGGCCAAGGATAATTTTTGTAGTGCACTTACCCCAAGTATTTAATAATTTCTGATAAAAATTTAGACATTATTTCAATGACTAGGAAATAAGAATTGTTACAAAAAAAAAAAACCATTTGCATAATAAAGGTCAACAGCATCGGCGAAGAATTAACAGGAATTATCTGCTGCAACAGACAAGTAGTTGCTACTGTCAATGCGCTAACAAACAACAGCGCCGGATTGTTATTATTATTTTTACACGTCATTTTTTTTGCCATTTAGTCGCATGTGCACTACCAGATTCTTCATCATCATTGTTATCAATAATGCATTCTATTTGGGAGCTGCAGCGTTGCCATAGGGTGACGACCTGTGAAATTTTGGATAAATAACGACGGCAGTATGTTGAAGAAACAACCGGTATTTGTTGTACGAATGTAAAAAACGCGGAGGCGTGCATCAAGAAACGGATACCAAAAATTATTTACATTTAAGTCGTTGTACTGTAATATGAAATCAAACATGAAGATGTATGAAAAAATTCTTCAATTAACGTTCTGATTTATATTAATTTGTCTGACGTGTTTTAATTTTGTCTTTCTAGTGTACGAATGATTTATTTATAAAAAAAATAATCACTCATTAAAATACGACTTACAATAACACAACATAAGCACAAATACATAGTAAGACCTTTCTTATTTCTCATCCTTGAGGTAATTTATTGATAATAATTTTGTCATCTCTGACGCGACAAGATTTACGATTTCATTCTAAGGATTACACAAAGGATTTAAACTTTGTTAGGTCTATTGCTGTCCTATGCAAAAATAGATATTATAAACTGAAATGCATATTCCTATATGCACTACACGTTTTCGAACATGTACGATTTTCAAACGGTTGAAATCATCTACTAGTATCATTACACAAGTTATTTTTCATATTAATTAAAACATAATTTATAAATTATAAACGATCACAACATGGACGAGTTTTACATGCGGTCCAGTCATCGTGGTCAGTGGCCATTACATGATTTTGACTACCCAAAGTAATGTTCGAGATTTACCATTGGCGAAACCACTTAGTTATTATAGCCATATCCCCGAAAATAGCCTTACCCTCGTCCGAAAACAACAAATGAAATTACTTAAAAAAATTGTATCTCTCCTATACATGTCATAACACATAATCTCCATGTTTAAAATTTGCATACTTGACCTCAAATGTTTATGGTTGCACTTAAGTGTGCTACGTAAAACTGTACGCTTAAATATCTCCTGGTAGAAATATTTTTTTAGACTAGTCACCCATCGAGTTATCTGAGAGTACTTTGTTTTTGTAGAATCAGAGAAACATATTAGGCAAGAATTAATTGAATACTGCAGTGACAATTACTTATTATCGTCTAATTTAATATTATAAACAGACCCCAACTATTTAAGTAAGTTCGTAAAACAATTAAAAATAAAAAAATAATTTTATGGAATTTGAGTACTTAAGAATTGAAGTACTTAGCCATGTATTATGCGTGTAAAAGCGGTTTCTTTATTTTATGTTTGACCTTAAGCTCAAAACAATATAATAAGAAAAAATTAATGTGTGTAACAACAAGTACAAGTCTTTGTACACACAACTAATAAGAACGTCTCATATTTTAAAATTCAATATTTTAGAGGACAATAAATTAAGAACTACCTATCTATATTGTTACAACTCATTTTCCGAGAATTTTACGCATTTCTTTTGTATTTTTAGTACATGTGTTTTTTATAATTAAATTTCATACGGTATATTTTAAGTCGATCACCTCCGTGCGTTTAAAAAAGTGTTTTACGGTTAAGTTGCTACGTATCAACATTTGAAACAATACAGTATAATTTAATGATGAATATTTTAACGTATTTATGTAGGTAAGGGTATTTTTTCATAAAGGAATATTACCGCCCGTGTCGTAATAAAAACGAACAATGAAGGGGTAAAAAGTACTGTTGACATGTACATCTGAGCCTCATATTGCAAACGTAACTAATGCGATTCGTAGAATAATTTCTAAAACATGCAATTTCACAACCTTGCAGCTAAAATAATCGTGTACTTTTTTGCACTCAATTTTTGTTGTTTATGATACGTTAATGTTATCGGTTAGCTTACACTCGTAGTTTTTAGCAAATGTATTCTTAGTTATTATTTTATTCTCTATTTATTTCATTACCTCAATACCAATCCACAATTTTTGTTAATCGTCCATAATAATATCTTTCTTCAATGAAAAGACAATATGCAACGAATAATTATGTCCAGAGTTTAAAGTAAGCTTAAAAGTAAACGAAGAGGTAAAAAAAAAAAAAATAACTTTTTACTCAAAAAAAATTAAAAGGGACTCGCAAACCCATAGCCGGTAGTGGATTTTTCTGTAAGAATATTCTGAGCGTATTTAAAAACTGATATCAAATAATTTTTATTTTATAATAAAATAAGCTATGTTTCAATTAAACGACTACTTCAATTGTTTAGTGGTATATTACTAATTTATTTGTTAAAATTTCTTTTAATTTTAAGCGAGGCTTCCATAACAAACGTATGTTTAAAAAAAAATTAATATTCTTTGAGTGTATTCTTTTTTATTAAACTTTACATTACTATAGAATGGGTCTAATTTAACCACTAAGTATAATAATGTTCAAACTTAATTTAAATTAAAACCTCCAAAATTAACCTTTAGTTACTCGATCAAATTAAATTGAAAATATATAGCCTACTTCGAATATAGGTAACCAATTAATAAATTGTATGTTTCAAGTTAACAAACGCTTTAGAGTTAAATTTGAGACCGATAGCAACCAAATAAAGATGATTCTTTCCTATCAAAAATGTTTAATATTTCAAATAATTTTCTAGTTATATAAAATATTCTCAATAAAATAATTTACTTCTAGATTTTTAAATAATATATTCTCCGATAGTAATTTTACAGGAGATCATTCTTTCGTTGCATCACAAGTTGCAATACAACGACTTTCTTCTTAGACTATGATACTAAGCTCAAAAATAAAATGAAGAATTTAATGTCAAACGTTTCGAACAATGTAATCTTTATGTTACCATTAAAATAGCTTTAATATTAATAGTATTAATATTAAGAAATGTACTCACTCTTTTTTTAATTTGGTTATTAATCCAGTAAATGTTGATTCACCTTGCAACAAAACCAAATTTTTCGGTAGTGACGTCGGTATTGGTATACGAGGTGACATATCTGCCAGTTGAATTTCAAAAGCTGTCGTATCTTTAACCACTAATAGCAGTTCAGCCATCAAAACTGCCAACCATAACCGCGTTACCATCGTCTGAAACGCATGACAAATAAAACACCATTAAACACACAGTATTGTATGTACAAAAGTATTTAACAAAACGCTCGATTGTTATTATTTTATTTTTACCGCAACAACTCAACACTTAGCCGCGTCTTTTACCGGCCAGTGGGTAACAGTGCGGGAGTGTGTAAAAAGACGTTTTTTGCGCACGAAGAACAATGCGGCTCTCCGAGGGTATAGTGTACTTTCCCATGTGCGGGCGAAGATTGAAACGAGCTGCGGGGTGGACGGGAGATCTAGATATTGCGGGTTCGAATTTCAACTGGTCGCTAATTTTACATCGAGAGAACACGTAAAAAGAAAAAACAGACAAAGACGACACGAACAAGTTTATTTACATAAAATAAAAAAAATCCGCATTGGAAAAAACACAACCTGGAAGTTATAAAGGGAAGCCAATGTTACGAAAAAATGAGTACTCTAGTCAATAATACAATATATACATACGACAATCATTTTTGTAAGTCTACACCAGAAGATTTTGTTCTCATNCATTTTTGTAAGTCTATACCAGAAGATTTTGTTCTCATTTTTTTTTTTTGGCATTTTTTTCATGAAATTTTTTGCAATACCAACAATATCACACGATAATCACACAACATGAAACAATATTCTCATAGACAAATATTGTCGAATTTGCATCATTACAATTACAATTTTTATTTGCACACAGTATTTAATAGTTGTCGTCTTTGGAAAATAGTATTTATCTGGACAGTACCTCAATGAATTTGAGCTTCTCCAAAGCGCCTGTAACATTTCTTTTTATTTTTTGTAATTTTTAGGTAATTCGACGGGCTGAGTTATCGAGGGGTTAAAATATATACATTAAGTGCTCACTAGAATCTCGTATAGTCGGATAGTCGGGAAAAATGAATTGTAGTGATTTTTTACTCGGATATTTTTGAATAAGTGGTTTATTTATGTTCAAAAACATATTGTTGCAGGCTATAATTATTACAATGAAATAATTTATAACAGTAAAAATATTCAAAACGATTTATATTGGATCGCGTTGGAAAGTGTACATTGTAATTACTTTTGGGTGCTATTAATAGTACAATAAAAATGTGTAATTTTGTTCATAACACGTCATGTCAATTTATAAATAATATGAGCGTAAACATTCTTGGGGTTGATTAAGCTTACCGCTTTGAGCGCACGGTGAATTGTCTAGAAGAAATAAAAATATCAACTAATGGTTGTATTGAAAATTGTTGTGCCGTAGGGTTTAAAATAACCCCTACGTAACGTCATGAAGAGGGTTATCTTTTTGTTATACCTATCTGAAACCTATTTATCTTGTATTAAAAAACGCATTGTTGCATTTTTCACGTGGAACGTCACAAAAACTATGTATAAACGGAAGGTTTTCGAGGTTAAAATTATTTTCGATTCAGGCTGACTTAGGGATGTATTGTTAAGCCCCTATATGTTGGAAAGCGGCCAATAACTGTTCGGTGCGCATTTGTAGACTGCTGTTAATACTAAGCCAATCACTCATTTAGCCGAATCACTTCGGTATAAATCTATTTTTGTTCTGTGATGTTGTGAAATATACATACGCGTCTCTTACAGTATCACAAGAATGGCAAAAAGACACAATGGCACCACCAATAGGACACACTAGATGAATTAGACGGCGGCGGCGGCCGAAGGAAGCAAACGCACACGAACGTATTTTTAAGTCTAAATCTGTCGTTAAATCGCCATGAGGAATTTGTCGTCGAATGCGTTGGAACTATGCCCGATTACATAAGACATCGGTGACTGGTAGACTACACGCTAATAGGGTGCACTACGACTACGTTGATTGCGATCGACTTGAAAAAATCGATTCGTAATAAATTAGTGACACTGATAATTAGTGAAGAGCTAATTGGAAAAAACCTCATTTGAACGCAACGCAACGATCGGCGGCAGTCGTATGCGTTTAAAGGAACAGAATTCAAAAACGACCTGCGGTCAGTCAAAGTAATTATTAATAATCTAATCGTACAACTCACGGGATTCTGCATAATCGTGTTCCGCTGCAGGAGATCATGTATAGTGACGGTGCATCAGAATGTATCGCAAGACTTTCGACGGACCACTCGCGTGTTTTTAATTAAACTCAATTGAAATCATTCGTAAAAAACAAACGCGGCGAACACAACGTGTATCCGATTCGAGGCGCTGTATGCTCACTACGCCGGCGATCGGACAGCAGCTATACCGAAGGTGGTGTGGCACGACCTGGCCCTTTTAAATCCAAACTGGAGTCTGGACTGTCGCACGCACGTCTCCTCTACTCCCGTTAAGAGACAATCAACGCACACACGCTCATAAACCAATGCCCACCCCCCAAACTACCTATCACGCATGCGCCATTCGCGTTGCTTACTATTTTTCATTTACCTTTATTTCCCTTTTTCTTATTTCTTCCGATTCTCTTTCACTTGTCTTACACGATTATTTTTCACTGTTATTATTACTCGGATGCCGCGTCTTCGACGAATTAAAAAAATACACGAAATAAATAAAAAAACTGATGCGTTTCATTTGCTCGAGTCGAAATACATTGTTAATCCTGCTGAATCCCAAACGGGACCGTGCGACCGCACAAACGATTGTTTTATTTGTTTCTTATGGGAAACTTTCGAGGAATCCAGCGGTAGGAGGGTACACTGGATAAAATGTCATTAGCACGTTACCACCGATGTTTTGTTGCTCTTTGTACGATTCATATCAATTATGTGTACACACACACACACACTAATTTCGCTGTTTCTGTCTAGTTTCTTCTATATATTATACGCGTACGGTTTTTTCTGCAATGCGCACGATATTGGTGCAGAATCCACAATGAGTAACGTGTGTGGCGCCTGAGTTGCATGGGAATTTTATCTATCTCTCTCGGTTTCTCTAACATATTATTTACTCCACCACCCACATCCACGTAAACACCCCCTCCCGTCCGCCGACGGTATAATATATCTAATTAACAGCTTGCTGAAACTTTACCTAATAAACGCATGCAGTCTATATTGTAGTGCAGATGATGATTATAATGGCGAGACACCGAATAAACACCGGGCGAAAGAACTCGCATGTGCAAAAAATTATGATGATTAGGTTAACGCAACGACATCGTGTGTCTGCGAATATAAATACGTGTAATACAATACTTCCACACAGCATAGTGTGTACGCGTTTATTATTGATACCTTCAGAAATCTTAATTGTCCGAATCGTGCAGCCGGAAGCTATTTCGCACGATTTTGTGTTTTTATTCTCTCATTCCAATCGTAATTAGCCATTGGTTTTTTTTTATCATTTTCCAACGCTCACGTCAATTTATAGACATCACGCATCTTTAGAAGATTTATTACAAAGACATTCCATTCGATTAATTCTATTTTTACGCTTTTAAATTTAATGTATTCATTTCGTGTTTGTTTACAGTTTAGCGAAAAAAAAATAATGTTACATAAGTATAACATTAAATGATATTTATATTAGACAAAAAAAAAACATTATTTTTAAAAGATATTTTTTATGTTTAGCAAGTGTAAAGGGGAAAGATCAAATACGAAATTCAGGTCCGCGATAAAGACAGTAGAGCGATGTATGCTGCCTGTTTTTCAAAATATATCGAGAAACAATGAAAAAACGTTACTCCTTGCCCTTTTCCTAGCACTGTGTCTATTAATTATTATAATTATTTTTTTTTTATTCAAATAGTACTGAATACTGACTGAATGACTCAATTGAATCATATAAATTAATTTTATATTTATGAGAATTAAGTATTTTTTTATTATTGTATATTTCGTTGATATTATTAATGTTAATGAAAAAAATCCTCTTTAAGACAGTTGTTTGAATCATAAAATACACTACATTAATTGATACAGTTTTAAATAGTGTACATAACTTATAGGTTATGTGACTACTTAGTCAATCAATATCATTTTTAAAATAAGTGTTTTAACTGAAAATGTTGAGTTTTACATGTTTTACAANTATAGGTTATGTGACTACTTAGTCAATCAATATCATTTTTAAAATAAGTGTTTTAACTGAAAATGTTGAGTTTTACATGTTTTCTTATGATGAAAATGACGACCTCTGCAATGAAATAGTCTATTATGTAATATCAATATAATTGAATTTACGATACTAAATAATATTGTTTATCAATGACAGGAAATGATAAATATTTTCTTATAGAAAAATGTTAACATTTTTTTTAATCTTAAATTTGAACTTAATTCTACTAACAATACGATACCAAAAATTCCAAATGGTTGTGTAACACGTTTTATTTTTATTTCATATTCTGAGATTTACCGGAAACTTTAAAATTGTGATTTATTCGAAATGTAATATTTTAAGTTGCTTGTCTGTTGTATTTTTTAGCACTACTCTTACATTATGCTCGCGTGTTACAAACTGATTAGAATGTAACACCTACAATTTGAAAAGGGGATTGATTTAGAAATATCGTTCTAATGACATTTTACAAATTATCCAACTATGAATAGTTAAATGCTCATTAAATAAAAATAAATTCAGAGGTGTTAGATTCAAAGAAATAATTTTATCGACCACAGAAATAACGTCGGTTGGTTTTTCAAGTTTCGTGCGAATTAAAAGGAAGTTCATTTACCAGACATATCGTGTGGTAGCAGACAGATTACTCAATAGTTTAACTGACTACGACGTATTAAAAAAATCGGCGTGTCATATTAATATCTAGCGCAGTTCTATTATTTTCAATGCGTCGTTTAGAATGTAAAAAGGAATTTCAAAAAACGCTGAAAACCGTTAACAAATCAAGTGACCGCGACACGAAATTCAAATTACAATAAGTTTGTTTTAATTGGCACTATTTTAGTCTAATGTACTATTTGTTTTTATCGTATATTTTTTATCACATGGCACATCGGCTATACTAAAGCGTTATTCATAAAATAAACAGACTTGCAACAATACAATCGACCAAATTGTAATTTGAGAATAAAAACATTATAATTCAGTCTCAATCGAATTATTGAATGAAGTCAGCAATATCTGATTTTCATTGGGATAGTTAATTTCTGGTTAAATAATTTAAAAACAGTTTGATGTGTAATAATCGAGTAAAAATCATTGTAATCATTGATTACAGTAACACCAATAACAATTATGTTGGATTTTTAATTTTCGCTATATATTGAGCATGAAACCGTGAAAAATTCCGATAACTTTAAGAACCTCAATCAGAATTTTCGCACAATACTAAAACAATGTATTTATATGGCGACATTTCGTAAAACGGCCTTCACAACAATTTAAATAGCTAGTAATATTTTACAATAAACATTTTTTTTTTGTAGATTTACACATATGAAGGTAATTTTTCGCAGCCGACTTGAATTTCAGCTGCAATATGAAATAAAAAACGTCCGCGTGAGATTATAAGAAACGCATGTATCAGTGTATCTATGTTTTTTCAACGTATTTTTTACGCGGGCCAATTGTCTCATCATCCGGCGACGGGATCGTATGAGCGCAGTTTGTCTTCCGTCAGCGAATCTAACCGTTAAAATTGGAGACGTTCGAAAACCCACTCACAAAACCATTTCCGCGAGAAATTTCACAATACATCGAACACATTCTTGTTTAGCACTACACGTGCAGTACATTATTTTGTGGTTTATAGGTATCCTACACGTGTATCGATTTTCGGGACTAGTTTACACGTGTATGGATTATTAGTTTCACACGTGCCCGTTAAGGAGGCGTGGGCGGACAAGTGGCTAATCCCGATTCGTTTTTTTTTTGCGGATGAGCACACCGAGACGAAAAAATGAAGTTTAAATTAATACGACAAGAGATGCTATCCGTTCTCGGCGGTGCTTCGGCAGATCTGCGCTATTTCATTATTATTATATGTATAACTACCTACTGTTTGAAAAAACATAAACAAACTCGGTCAATAGATTTTAGTACGGTTGTAAACTAAAAAACTACACAATGCGTGTGTACCAGTGTTATTTGTTACAATCCCGTTCCCCGATTTGCACGTCCCCGTCTATTAGGACAGATTTATGAAACCGGTTCGTTTTTCGTGTGTCTAGTCCATGTCTTCCTGGCCGTCTAAGAAGTTTCCATAGACGAATACAAATAATCGATTAGCATATAATTGCAAGAGAATTGATTTTAACGGGATTACCAATTATTGCCATACTTAATTATACCTACTTTGTTTTTATATTGATTCATAATATGCAGTGTAGTTGCCATCGGATTGCTCTCTTAAAAACAGCGAATCAATAGGGTTTTGCGTGTGTCGAGTATGGCAGTATGATCGAATATTTAACGCTTGATCCAATACAAATTAATTATATGTTCTTTACACTGTATTTTCGGATCACTGTTGCCCTAAGGTAAATATTGACATGAAAAATCCTTGATATTTGAAGAGAAAGGAGTAAGCGGGAAATATTCAACACGCTGATTAATTAGAGTAAATTATTATAATAATTTACAGTTATAAATTTTCAAACATAACACCGAACGGATTATTAGTAAAAATTTTACTAGAATTTGTAATATTAAAAAATATATGCATTTAACTAAAGACTAGCAAAAATAAACAACACAGTTAAACGACCACAACAGACTATGAATTTAAACGTCAAAAAAATATTAGATATTATGTGTTTTTAATTAAAAACAAAGTTAATTATTTTGAAATTATAACATCATACGCATAAGCGTTTAAATTACATTACTTTAAGTGAGCTTCCAAAAAAAAAAAAAGTGATATAGTATTCAGACTGAAGTTGTACATAAATGTAATTAAAATTTTAAATGTCCCGAGTATCACCCTGATTTGTATCTATGCAAGTTAATGGAAACTGCAGGACAGATAAAAAACGAAGGATACGTTTTATTAGTTGAAAAATGGCTTTAGTGCTATCGGGTATAATCTTAGGTACTTTTAAAAATGTCAGACTATTATTATTTTTATTTACGTTTAAATGTAAATAGTTGAAGAAGATCTATTAAAATAAGTGATTTCATTATATTGGATGTAATAGACATGTTTTTACATGAATAAGAGAATTACGTTAATAAAGTACACTAGAAGTAGGCAGCATTTGAGTTGAATTTATTAGATAAACCTTAAACTATCTTTTTTATTTAGGTATAAAATGGATTCGAATATACAAGAAATAAATTCCATTGATCAAATCTAAAATATGTTTCTTTTATTCTAATTTTGTAATCTTACCCATACATTGTTCCCGTGTTGTT